AAATCTAATAACAATTAAAACCTAACTAATATAATCAAGTGTCTGATTATTTTTTTTTTTTTTAATATTTGTATTTTAATTAAAAAATTTGTTAGAGTATTTATTTAGAATTGTTTCGATATAGAAGACAATAAAATTGAATTACTTCATTTTTTTTTTTATTAATCAAATTTCTAGTACGTACTTTAATTATATGTGAAAAAAAAAAACATAATTTTTACGAAGTACCCATTTTCAACAACTTACAGAAGTACTATTAATGAAAATTAAGATATATAGGTCGAACAAAAAAAAAAATTTTTATTCGTTGTTTTATCTGTCGGACCGGAACGAGTCATACGTTCTCGATGAAGCCATCATCATCGTTGCAACCTTCTTATCTACCCTTCTTTATCGTAATTTTTCACGAAGCGTGACCGGAAACTTGTTGGTTATGCGACGCTTAATCTCTTTCAAAAAGAAATAAGAACAAAAAAAAAGAGAGAAAGAGAGAGAAAGAGAGAGATACTTTAAATATACAATAAATTGATTCCGTCAATTGATTTATAAAAAAATTCATTTCCTTAAAAAAACAAATAAAAATAAAAAAGATAAAACGAGAAAGTTGGAGAAAACTGAAAAGATAAGGTTGATTCTCTCTCTCTCTCTCTCTCTCTCTCTCTCTCTCTCTCTCACCCTCTCTATTTCTCTCTTTTAATATCAAAGATAGTAGTAGTAATAATATCACGAAAAGGTTCCTTTTTTTTTTAATATGTATTTCGTTCATTTCGGTTGGTGGTGATGATAATGATGGGGTAATAGAAGTGTTCCCTACAGCCCTCTTTTTAATTAAAGATACGCTTTCTACAGCTCTATCTTTTCTCTGTCGCAAAAACAGAGTTTTAACAACACACTTGTCTTTTTCTATTTATCTTTCAAAAGTGTTAAGTTTAAATGATAACGCGGTTATGTTCACGGCACATTGAAAGATAAGACGTGAAAGAAAAAAAAAGAAGAAATAAAAGAGAAACTTTTTTAGAGTTTGCATGAAACTGAGAGAAAAGGAAGGGAAGAAAAAAAGGGGGTGATTCTTCTTCGGCAGGTGAAGGAAGTAAAAGAAAGAAGAAAAAATGAAGGAAGAAGAAGAAGAAGAAGAAGAAGAAGTGAAAAAAAAAAGAGAGAAAAAGAAATGGGTGCGGCTTAGCCACCTGCTACTCTAGCAACCATCTTTTGGCTCCTTATTTTCAACCCCTTAAAAAGAAGATGACCCTCTTCTTCTTCCGTTAATTATGTCGACCCCGTTGAAAGAGATAAAAAAGATAGAATAAAAAGAGAGAAAAATTGTCTTTTCTTCGTTTGATAACAGTAGGTGATAACCGTTGGTTGGTTGGTTGGTGGGTTGATTGGTTGGTTGATAATCTCGTGATAATGTACGAGTATTATTTTCTACTTAACTTTTATATGTAGTGTATTTCAAATGTATTATTATATTATCTTTTACAATCTAATAAATAAATTTGTTTGATTTTTTGTTTGTTTGTTATATTAGGTCATTAAATATGAAATGTCTGATTTCGAGATAAAAATAATCCGAGTAATCAGACATTTCATAGTTAATAACCTAATATAATATATTGTTTTAAAATAAATTATTATATAATGAGAGAATATTAATATATTTAAAAAGTTAATATTATTTTTTTTCATTATGAAAAAAAGTTGAATATTAAATTTATTTATTAAATATTAAATTAATAATTGGAATATTAAATTAATTAATATATATAAATTACGTGTCACGTTGTTTGTCCGCAATGGACTCCTAAACTACTAAACCGATTTTAATAAAATTTTGCACACTGTGTGCAGTTTCATCCAACTTGAAAGATAGGATAGGTTATATCTCAATTTATAATCGCAATATTATTTTATTGCGAATTATTTGTTTATTAATAAAGAGTCATGGTTATCTCTGTTAGTTCGATAAGATTCTAACATATGACGGTATAAGGTAATTCGTTGACTTAAAGACGTGTGTATCGGACTGATTGTGAGCCACAGTAACACGTGGCGGGGCACCCCTAGTATATTATAGATTTTTATAATAATATAAATACATATTTTGGTAATATATTTATATAATGTAATTATCTACAATAAATAAACTTAATATTCCACTTCTTATATAAATATATATTGTTAATATAAATAAATATAAATACATAATGTAATTATATTTATTTATTTTTTATATTTTATATATTTAATATATTTTTTAAATATATAATATAATTATTTATAAATATATTTTAGTAATATATTTGTATAATGTAATTATATTATAGATAAACTACGAAAATATATTATATATATTTTATATAATTATATAATTTCATATATAATATATAATTCAATTTAATATAAAATTTAATTATATATAATATATAATATAAAATAATTTATATAAATAAATAATTAATATTATATATATATGAAGTCTTGATAAGTTTACTAATATATAAAATTTAGTATACTTTAAAGTATTAATAAACACACACTAGTAATTCAAATATCCATACGAAAAATGAAATGAATTTTTGGTTACAATTCCAATATTTATTTCAAAAATATCAATTTAATATTTTTATAATATACTACAGATAACTATAAAAGCAAAAAGGAAAAAAAAAGTATGCCTAAGTGTCTGAGAATAAATGAAACGATAAAAAACATAAATATAAACAGTGAGAAAGAAAAGAAAATCTAATCGTAAGAAGAAGATCGTTTTGTAAAAGTACGGGACAGGGGGGTGGGAAGTCATACTATTTTCCTCATGATTATTTCCTATCGAACTCCATACGAGAGTGCAATGGGGGGGGGGGTTAGATGATACTAAAGTGAAGAGGAGGGTGGTTCCAGTGTCTCATTCAATAAAGGAAAAGAAGAAAGGAATATCGAGTACGAAAGGCACGTACATAAATTTGCCCGGTGTATCTAATTGAATGGGGAAACGAAAAAAAAGAAAAAGAAAAGAAAATGAAAAAGAAGGAAGGATAGAAATACCTAAACGAATACCATACTGACATCATTTAAATAAACGTCCTGACGTAGAAAGAGATAAGATTAAAATTGGTAAGCTGTCTGTTTGTTAAAAGAAGATGAAAAAAGAAATAAAAAAAAGGGTTCTTTCTGAAAAAAAAAATATCGAATTGCAAAGAATTATAAATAAAAAATTAAGAAGTATCATATTGCTACCCAGTGTGTGTGTTATCACTGTGTTATGGTGGAAACAATGAAAAGTATGCTTACGCAAGTGAATCTGTTTATTTCTACTACTATGGGAAGAAGGGGGGTGAGTTCCTTTTCCACCCTTTTCTCTTCTTCCCATCGTTATCTCAACTCACTTCTCAATTCTGACGAATTTTTACTCAAGCAGAATGTTATCCGTCTACTAAACGACCGAAACTAACTTTTTTTTTTTCTTCTATGGTTGTTCTCTGACGTTGTAGTAGTCGAAGGTCGAGTTATTAAAACAAGCAACAGAGGATCTTCAAGATTTGGATGTTTAGGTTTTGGATCAAAGTCCAATGTGTATATTAGGTGTATATGTATTTATGTAAAAATGTCTTTTACACTTACTCATAAATCATACGTGTAATATTAATTTAACCAGAGTTAACTTTGTTGCGCTTCGTTTTGAAAGTGCGCACTGCTGTGTGTCGTGAAAATCGGCCGATGACAAGTCGAGGTTAAAATTGCTCATTTTTAGTATAAAATTAACTAAAAATAAAAATAAAAATAAAAATAAAAAATAGTAATTTACAAATCTTTGTAATTTGTTTATTTAATAATATTATTATATTTATTTAATATTATTATTATATATTATTATATTATATATTTGTAAATACTTATATACTTTGTATAATTTATTCATTTAATTAATTTATATAATATAATTTATTTATTTATTTATTTATTTATTTAATTTGTATTACTATGTAATTATAAATAATATGTTTTGTTTTTTCACAAAAATTACAATTTAAATAGCAAATGGTTACTACATTTAACACATGACGAGTATACTTGTCAAATTCAATTAACTGGTTAATTAATATCTGTAACGTTATATTTATAATTTTTTGTAAAATTTAAAATTAGAAAAATCAATTGTTCTCTTCTTTTTACTTTTTTTTTTGTACATTCAATTTTATTTTTAACTCCTATCGAAAGTCAAACGTTTCAAAGAAATATTTTTAGATATCTCAAATTTTCTTTCTTCTACAAAATTCCCCAACTAGAGAGAAGAAGAAAGATCTATTTTTTTTTTCTTTTCTTTTCTTTTTCGTCGACTTCACTTTTCCTACCAAAAATTCCATACGGATCGTCGTCAAATAAACGAGAACAAACAAACGAAATTGCGCGCGAGCACACACACACACACACACATGTGTGTACGTGCGCTCCACTTCGCTTGATCTCTCGCATCTGCTGACTATTATTTTTCTTTTTTTTTTTTTAAATAAATATACTCGTAGACTTGAAAAAAAAAAATAAAACGAAAAGAAAAAAAAATCAGCATACATACATATATACGTGTGAGTATATTTAACGCGTTGAGAAAATTACGATACAATTTAGAAATAATTTTTTGCCACTACGAATAGAAAAATTTAAATAAAAATTAAAAAAAAAATAAATAAAAAGATGAAAAGATAAAAAAATAAAACAGAAAAATAGAAATAAAATTAAATTAAATTAAAAATTAAAAAAAAATATATAAAAATATAGAAAGATACAAATATAGAATAGAAAAATAATAAAAAATAAAAAAAAGATAAAAAGATACCAAATGCAACATTTTCAAAACAATCATCTTCATCTTATTCTTCATCTTCTTCTTCTTATTCTTATTCTTCTACTACTTCCCGAATGTTTCATTTTGCTTGACGATATTTTTCTTTTTTGTTTTATGTTTCATAAAAAAACCAAAAACAACAACAACGATAAAAAAAAAGGTAAAAAGAAATTCCCATCGGATCCATCGTGTTGTCCTGTATGTGGGGTAACGGTTAGACCGCAGGAACTCGAGCAACATTTTGCTCAGGAACTCGATCGACTTTATAAAATCTCGTCAGCTTCGTCAAGACCACGACCACCCAGGTCTACATTGCCGCCAGTTCATCCGCAAGATCATCCACATGGGCCAATGTTACATGCACCGTCGGCCGCTGATGGTCCACCACATGGAACACCTCATCAAACTCCTCAGGGTAGATGGGAGACCTATAAAAGAATCAAGGCGAATAGACAGGTATTTTTTTATTATTTATTTCTTTTTTTCTTGTTCTTATTTTTTTATAACATCACTTTTTATTTATCATTCACTTTGAACAATAAAAGCATCTCAATTAACAAATATATTTTAATTTATTTTCTTTTTTATTTAGATTGGAAATTTTGGCACAGTTAAGAATTGAATTATTTTTTTGTATCTTGTTTTTAATTTTTTTATTTTTACAACATCACTTTTTATTTATCATTCACTTTGAACAATAAAATTATTTTAATTAATAAGTATATTTTAATTTATTTTTCTTATTATTTAGCTACGAATTTTTGGCATAGTTAAAAATTGAATTGTGTAGCATCTTGGTTTGTTTTTTATTTGTTTTTTGTTTTTATAAATATATTATCACTTTCTATTTATTACACGTTTCAAACAAATAAATATTATATCTTAATTAACAAATAAATTATTACATAATTTATTTTCTTTTATTTAGCTAGGTATTTTTGGCATAATTAAGAATTCAATTTTGTAGCATTTTGGTTTGTTTTTTAATAAGCATAAGAAAATATTTTTGTGATTTTATTTAATAATATTATTTAATTTACTTATTATTATTTAATATAATTATTACATCAACACGAAACGCTCACCTATTTACTATTTGTATATCAATATTCTTTTTATTAATAATTATCTTAATCCTCAATCTATTTTTCTGTTTTATTTTTTTGATAAATCATTAAATGCAGTATAAATTGTTTTAATTTTTGTAAGAATAAAATTTGAATGAAATTAAAGATTGCATATACCTATATATTTAGAAAGTTTTATATAATGAGTGATTAGTATTATTAATTGATTTATTTGTTTTCTTATTATTATTTTCTAGGCAAGGATTCGTGTTAAGAATAGAAAAAGAAAAGCGGACGAACCAACGTGTCCGGTTTGTAGCGAAAGATTGTCCGGTACTCCGGAAGAATTGAATCAACATGTAGAACGTTGTCTAAACAAGCATAATAACGGTAATCCAGCAGGTCAACACTCGAATCTTGATGAAGAAGAAGTGGACGTCGAGGGTGACGCCGAAACCTTTGAAGAATACGAATGGGCAGGTCAAAGAAGAGTTAGAGCAACCTCAATGCTTGTTGGCGGATTTTCTGGTAAATTTCATCATATATTATTTAATATTTATCTACAATTTTTTATAAATAATTTACTCGTCAATGCATTTTTAATATCATATTCAAATTATTCGATGTTTTTTTTTTAAATGTATCAACGTGTACCATTAATTAATTACAACTGATTTTTATAAACTAAAACAAAATTTATAACTCCAATACAATCTTACTAATTAGTTTATTTTAAAAATAAAAAAATATAAACAAAAAAAATATTAAATAAGAAATATTATATAAAAAAAAAATTGTAACAAAATAGATAGAAACCAAATACAACAAATGATATAAATTGAATACAACACATTACGAATTAGTTTATTTTAAAAATAGAAAATAAAAAAACATAAAAATATTAAATAAGAAAATAATATACAGAAAAAGAGTAATTGAAACAAACATAAATAGAAACCAAATACAAATTTAATAAAACACAAACCAAAGATAACAATAAACAAACAAACAAACATCCAATATTACAATTATGTAATTATCACACTGGAAAAAAAAATATAATTAACATTACAAAATAATAAAAATATAGCCGTAGGTTTGGCGACGTCATCGAGCAATCGTTCGGGTGGTGGTGGTGGCGGTGGCGGTGGTGGAGGTGGTGGTGAAGGTGGAAATCAACAGGACGAGGAAGATGTAGATTTAGTTGTTGACGGTGACGACGTTGCGGAATTTGGTCCTGCACAATATTCTGAGGCTGATGTTATAACACCAAGGATTGACGGTACACCAAGGGAACAAAAGGAAAGGGACGCACTTAGGGAAGCTGTTATCTCACCTAACGCACCTCACACTCCTCATTCCGATCAACTTGCGCAACAAGGGTTGCTAGAGGTCAAACCTGAACCTGGTACTACCACTACCACGACCACGACCAGTTCATCATCTACCCCTATTCCTGGTCAACAAAACGAACTCGATGAAAATGTTTCTTCATCACCAAGAAGGGACGGTGATACTCCAGTTGTTGAAGCACTTCGCGGTAGGATCAAAGAACTCGAAGCTGAGATGCGTGGTCAACTTTTCAAATGTCTCATTTGTATGGTGAGTCTTTCGTCCTTGAGTTAGATTTTTTATTTATTTTGTTTTTTGTTTAATCCTTTGATTGATGTGAACATATACATGCGTTTGGTACAAGTTATCAGTAGGGTTTATCCATTTATTTTATATACAAATGTTTGGTTTGAGTATTGATAAATTATTGTTTTAAATATTGTTACATGAAAATTATATTAACTATTAAAATAAAAATTAAAAATATTATATAAAATATATAAAATATATTAATTATTAAATATAATTTATTATATTAAAATCTAGGGCTCAACCATGGCAATATAAATTTAATCAATCTTGGAAATATAATATTTGTGTTAATAATAAATTATTCTGTCCCTAAAAAATACTGCAGTTATTAAAAATATTCACCACTCAAAGGGTTAAATAATTTTTAACAAAATTTTAGTTTTATTTAAAGGAAACACTATCTAAACATTTTCTTTCCTAATCGTACCTAGTAGCTAAAATATTTTTCAATTCGTTATAATTTGTTAATAATTAAATATAAAATATTTATTTTAATAACATACGATAGACAAAGATATCTCATAATCTGTTATATCTTAATGATGGGTATAATTCCATAGTGTGCCCTGAATTACCCAAATATAAGTTACATTCTTTTTCTAATAAGTGAAAATAGAAATTGTAAATTAAAAAATTATAAAAAATAAATTAAACTTAGATAATATTTACCACTACCATATATTAAAAAATTTTGTTTAACTATATAAGAATTCTTATTAGATTTGTCTTTTTTGTATTTAAACAGGAACAATATAAGAAACCAGTGACGTCCGTATGTTGTTGGCACGTGCACTGCGAACAATGTTGGCTACACACACTGGTAAGTTTTATAAATTAAACTTCTATTTTCAATATAAAAACAAACAGAAAGAGAAGGAAGAAAATGATAAAAAAAACGAGACAGATGTAAACTATCGAATAAATAATTTTCATGACCTAAAGAGAGATATAAAAGGAGGAAAGATATGGTGGTATACTTATTCGTTTAAGTATAATAAAAAAAAAGAAAAATACGAATATAGGTTGCTAAGAAACACCGCTAATTGCGTCAGATCATTCGACGGGATACACTTTAGAAGAAGAAACCACTTTTTTCAAATCGTTGCTCTCGATCTGGACAATCGTGTCGTCGTCCTGGCTTCCTTTAACTTATAAAGAAAATAAAAAGAATGAAAAAAGTTCAAGATATCTTTCTCATTTTCTCTTTCTCTCTCTCTCTTTTTCTCTCTTTTTCTCTCTTTCTTACTCTTCCAGAAACGGGAGGATCTACTTTGTACAACGTTTCTTTATCGTTTACCATAATGGCTCTTTACCGATCAGTTTTTAATGTATTATTTTATTCCCGCGTGCGCGTTCGTCGAAAAGAACTTTAACTTTAACCAATTGCGATTGGATACCTGTATCAATCCTTAAAACGTTTTATCTTTAATGATCACATATATATTTTGTGTTACTTTTTTTTTTTTATTTATTTTTATTTTATACGATACGATAAGGTAATAGTAATCCAAAAAATATTAGGGTTAATCATTAAGAAGTTTATTCTTTATTTTTTTTTTTTTAATACAAAATTTGGATAACATTTATTGAAGATAATATAACAAATTTACATAATAAATACAATAAACACGTACCAATATTTTTAATATTTATTTTTTATAGCAATAATATTATATTGTTTATTATTTGTTTTATTTTTGTTTATTAAAATAGTTTTCTTAATTTTTTTGAAATTTATTCGATAACGATTTACATACATTTAGGTTTAATATTACAGTAACTTATATGTGTGAAATTCTTAATATTATTAGAATAATATTGGAACAAGTTAATAAGGGATTGAATTGTTTAAAAAATTAGTTTGTTTTGTTTTTATATATTTTCAGGGTGCAAAAAAGCTGTGCCCACAATGCAACATGATAACCTCACCATCGGATCTACGAAGGATCTACATGTGAAGTCAATCTCGTACGAAAAAAGCTGATCAAGTAGTATACTACAACAAATCGACTAACGTCCTATGTTCCGCCTAAAATACAATAATTTAAATAGAAAAAATTAAAAAAAAAAAGGTAATAAACGAGAAAAGTATGAAAAAAAGCAAGCGAACGAACGAACGAACAAACAAACAAAGTAAAGCAAACCAGCAAGAAAACAAGAACGAAAAATAAATATCGCGTAACGTTACTAATAAAATGAAATTTCCGAAATCCGTCAATTTCGTGTAAATACTTGTAAAGAAAAAAAAAAAGTAACAAAAAAAGAAAAAGAAGAAAAAAATACACCACAATAACAAAAGGAAAAAAAATACAAAAAAAAAAGAAAAGAAATAAACAAATAAATAAAATTCGTCGATGTAATAACGTAAATTAAACTATTTCACGTAAACAAACGTAAATACACGCACGGATTAAACAACACCACCACTACCTACCATCACAACCATCAGCACTACCAACCAGAACCAGACACACACGTTAACACATTGAATGCAGATAGAAAAAAAAGATCGATCTATCGATAAATTAAGATCGATATTTTTTTTCTCTCTGTTTCATTCATACCTTCGAAAAAAAGAGAGACAGAGAGATTAATAACTCTCTCTCTCTATCTCTCTCTTTACTACACATACACACACTATCTTTCTATCTCTCTCTCTCTCTCTCTCTCTCTCTCTCTCTCTCTCTCTCTCTCTCTCTCTCTCTCTGAGTGTAACGCACTTTTTAGTGTTAGTAAATTAACTGTTTTTAGCAATTTATTCCGAACTTGGATTAGAAAACGTTTCGTCTCTTTTACCTTCGCAACAATTTCATTTTCAATAAAAATTCGATTTAATTTAGCATTTTTTAGTCGATTCTATGTTGCCACCCTTATCCTCTCCAACCCCTTCCCTGATAATAACAACGTTGTACTAACATGAATAATAATAAAAAAAAAAAATTAAACAAAACAAAAAAACAACAAATTGATGCCAAAAATTTATTTTACGTTTTATCTTTTATACACGCAAGATTATATTATATTATATATTAAATACAATGAAATAATATATTAATTAATTATTATATTATTAATATCTTAATAATATATAATATAATATATATTATATAATAATATAATATATAATATGATATAATCATGCTATATTGTATTATATTATATAATAATTATAAAATAGGAATAATTTAATTATTAAACAAATCTCACGATAATATATGTTTCATAATAATTTGATTTATAATTTTAATAAATTGCGTAATTTTAATTTTGTTTAACAAATTTCAACGAAGTTACGAGACGAAACGATGAAAAATACGAACACTTCTATTTTCATTTTGTTTTTTTTTTTATATTTTCATTTTAATAGATCCCTGCGTAAAAGAAAAAAATTTACAAAAAGACAAAAAATTAAAATAAAATAAAATAAAATCGCGAACTTGAAGTTGTTCGTACGACGTTGACCTCCAATGAACATACATTTTTTTATTATTTTGATTTATTTTTTAATTCGTAGAATAAATTCTTAAGCGTAATTTGTTTTCATTTCAATCGAATTCGATAATAATAGCGAATGAACGAACACACACACACACACAAATGTATGAATTACATATGTACGAATACACATGTATGATTAAATACACACTGTCATATACTTATAAATATATTATTATTATTAAATTAAAAAAAATATATATATATATGAAGGCAGACGAGATTTGTTGCTAAAAAAAAAGAACACAAAAACATAAGAAAAAAAAATGAAGAAAGACAATTTTTCCCATAATTTGGAAATACGTACATCATGACCTCTTCCCACTCTTTTCCTTGTCCTACCCTTCTTTGCACTTTGCACCCTTCGATACACTCGTTCTGATCCTCGAACAAAGTAAAATCGATTCTGTACGAAGATCGAGAAGAAAGATAAACACTTCGATCATTTTATTATTTTTTCAAGGTTAAATTAATGGGGGGTTTAGGTGGAGGTGGGGCAAAAAAAAAAACAAAAAAACTATGATGTAATTTTTTTTCTAGTAATTTTTTTGTTTCTCATACGAACACGATTGAATAAAAGGGCCTTCTTTGGGACCTTTTAAACTTTCTTATCGATCTACGAAGAATCAACAAAAAAATTATTATCGAAAGCACATCTTAGCTAATCGTCGAAATCGTTGGCTCGCCCAAAACGCGAAGGGCGTACTATACCTGTAAATAAAAAAGAAAAAAAAATGATAATAATGATAATGATAATGATAATGATGATAATGATGATGAAGAAAAAGTGTAGCAACTACCTTCTTTTCTCCCTGAACGCTGTTCTGTAATCCATAATAAAACGATCATGGAATGTAGTGTCGTTACAATTATCTCCCATAATCATCTTGAAAACGTTATCTGAAAATCGCAATTATTTATTTACAAAAAAAGAAAATATTCTACACTTTCTATTATTATTTTTTTTTCAATTTTTTTAATATTAATATTAATAATAATTTACCAATGCCATAAATATAAATATAAATATATATATAAACAAATTTATTAACACCATTATTATGACGTCCATAATTATTTTTATGGTAAAATTCCTAAAAAAAAATATTCTTTTTTTTCTAAATATTCAAAAATATTTCAAGAAAAATATTTATTCCAAATATTTAATTTAAATAACAAAATTTTAAATTCCATTATTTTTTCCATAAACATTTAAAATTATTTTTCAAACGATCAGTATAATAATCATTATTATATACATATATACATGTTTTAAAAATAATTTTTTATCCAAAACCAACACAAACAAAACAGCGTATTTAAATGATTACAGCATTCAATAAATTTCATAAACAAACATATGGACCAAAAAGGTAAGTATAATAATAAATAATGAAAACAATCAAGAAAAAAAAGACTATCATTTTCTTTACCCCATAAAAATCCCCAAAGTAAACAAAGTTAAGGGTAAGTAACTATAACCAGTAAAGTATATGTAATAAGAAATAAGTATGCAAAGATTCAACCGCAAAAGTGAGAGTAGAAAACAAACCTACGATAATAATACAACAAGAAAGAAGAACATGAGCAAAAAGAAGAATAAGAAAGGGCCAAGGATTGCTAGTGTTAAGGGTTTTACGGGATCCTCCGGTAAAAGTGGGAAGGGTGTTTAATATCCGTCTCTTATCTCTTTCCTAGTCCTGTATATATATACATATATCTTTATCTCTCTTTCTGATTAAAGCAGTAAGGTTGTGAAAGTATGTGACAAAAAATTGCACAAAATGGCCGCGACGTTAGGGAAGAAGGACAGACAGTGAAATAGTAGGAGAAGGAAAAGAAAAAGGTGCTTGAAAGTACAGGAAAAAAAAAGAATTAGAAAGAAAGATGATGGTAAGTAGGTGGTGTGTGGGTGTATATACATATATATATATACATAACTAAAGACAACTGTAACTGTAAAGACAAAGGTAAAGAAAGTAAAAAAGGAATCCTAATAGAAAATAAAAGAAAGAAAGAGAATGCGATGTTAAAGAGGAGTTTCAGGAGTAGTAGTAGTAGGTGGAGGAAGGGGGTTGTAGGAGGGGAGGAGGGGTGGGATCTGTGAGGCAAAAGGTGGTGCCGGAGGTGACAGGAAGGTGGAGCTCCGTGGTTTGCAGGTGCGCTTTCGTCGAAAGGACAGAAAGGAGTGCTACTACTACTACTATTACTATGTACAGAGTGCTTGTGAGATTGTGGTGGGGATAGAAAGGTCGTATGAGAGAGAAAGATAGAGAGGGAAAATGGGAAAAGGTTCTCTGGAAAAACTGAAACCCAGAGGACTGGGTTTGACTGGGGGAATAGAACAGGAAAGGTGGGTTCGTGTTGCGGGAGGCGCGGTACCAGAAAGCTCCGCCTATCTTTTCCTCTACGAAAATTCTCATGTTATATTCTTCCTATATTCTAAAGACATATATTGTGTGCGTATGTATAATGAGTGTTAGTGTGGGTGTGCAGAATTACGTTTACCTAGGGAAGATACCTCTTCTTATAACGAGAGTTTCGCGACTTAGGCAAAGCAAAAGAGGACATCTCTTTTTTTTCCACCCGGTATCGTGTTAATAAAAGAAAAAAATCTTCCACACGCTTTTTTTTATTATTATAAATAAATATATTCTTTTTTATTCTTTTGTTTTTATCTTTAGACACTTTTTTTTTTGTATCTTTTCCTTGAAAGCTCAAAAAAATTCAACAAACCGTTGCCTTATTCGCGAGATTATTTCTTTCGTTGAGGGTAAGGGTTAAGGGTGAAGGAGGGGTCGTTCGCTTTTCCGAACTCATCTATGGAATTTGAAACGATTTTTAACGTTTAATATCAAGCTACGTATATAAAATTCTAGGTTTTTTGTTTATTTTATGGTAACCAAAAAAGTTTCTAATATTTTATAAAATAAAAACGAAATAATTGCTTAAAATAGTACATGTCATGTATAATAAAATATGTAATTTAAAATAAAACAATAATTATTAGTAAAACAACAACACACTCCTAAATATCATCTTCATTTCATATCCACGTTATCTCAATTTAAAGATCAATAAAAAACTATTAAACAAAAAGGTATCTCACCCTCTATTTTATCGTAGATTATAAAATATTCTTATTAGAATCTTAGAAAACAAAAAAAGAGATAAACGTAAAGAGAGAAAAGTCCCGAACATTACCATACTATACGGGAGTGAGGAGAAAGAGATGGTATAACCTTAAAATATTAATGTTCCTCGTATTCCATCCAAGAGGAAGAAAAAAAAAACAAAATAAAAGAAATAAAAAAGTCAAATAATATACATATACTACATATATATATATATATATATATATATATATATATATATACCTGGCAAGAGTGGTGTAAAACCTAACCTTAATTTGTAAAACAAACGGTGGTACCACCTCCTCTTAGTAGGCGTTTGTAAATCCGTCCTCTTGCGAGAAGAGGGCGTGTATATCTCTGAGGAATATTTGGAGGAGGGATAAAGAGAAGGGACAAAAGAGTGATAAAGATAGAAACACATAGAGAAAGAGAGAGAGTGAAAGAGAGAGAGGAGGTTCGTACCGTGTTCGTACAACCTCGACAGTACAGCGCAACTCCCTGGGACTATTTGAAACCTCCCTCCTCTTTGAAATCCTCAGCTCGGTTTGGACCTCAGTGACGCCTGCGAACTTCGCACGAACTCCCAACGAGTTATAGCTTTTGTTAACGCCCCCATAACCGTCCTATCGAAACCGTAAGCCAACCAGAATTCTGGTCTCGTCTCAAAGCTTCTTCCACCTCCAACTCAACCTCCAATTCTCCTCCTTTTCCTCTTCCACCTCCTCATCGTTCACCTAACATCGTCTCACTCGTTGTCTATCTTTTTTTAACCCTCTCCTCCCCTTCCTTTTTCACTATCAACGAGTTATGCTTTTCTTCTTCTTTCTCACTCCAGCAACGATATGTTTCGAGTTACCACACGAGAGAAAACGTCTTCTTCTTCTTATCCTCCTCCTCTTCGTTTTACTTTTTTTTTTGTTTCCCTACTTGTTTCAAGCTCGAGTAGAAGTGTTTGCATGTATGTGTGTGAGTGCGTGAGTGTGTGTGTGTTTTGATATCTTTGTCTAGCTTTATAACTTTCTTCTTTCTCTGTTTGTTCAAGTAAAACCACAATGTTCCTGAGCGTGAATAATTTTCTCCGCAACGAGTTCTCCTCCTCCTCCTTCTTCTTCTTCTTTTTCTTTTACCACCGCCACCACCACCTCCTCGTACTCTTCATTTTACTCTTTCTATCTATCCCTGTGACGATCGATTCTTCTTCTTTCTTTCTATATGTCTTTTTTTCTTTTAGTTTCTCTTCGCACTTTTTGATGATTTTACATGAAGAATGTTTTGTAAAATGAAAAAGTACGAACGTGTCGAAGAAAATGGAAGAGTTACGAAAGTATATTTTTTTTTGTACTTTTGAGACTATTTCTCTTTTATATATTTGAATTTATATATTTTTTTAAATTATTGTATTAATTTATTTTATATTTAAGTTATATATTATATATGGTTTCGAGAGAGATTTGAATTAGAAATAACAAGATGGCGTACAATCTTTACTTACCATCGAGCTTCGTATTTCGAAAAGGGGGTAGTTTTAAATTATTGTATAAAATAAATAAAATTAATAATAAAATTAAAGGTACACATTGTACAAAAGTGTTATCAAAATTAATTATAAATAAATGAAAAAATTATAGATTTCTTTTTTTGCAAGAGTGGTAGTAGCATAATTTTTTAACTACATTGTAATTGAACAAATTTCACATTTTAAAATAAAAAATTAAATTATAATTCTATTAATTAACTCAATTAATTTTTCAATACTTTTTGGTTTCTTTTGCAGTAATAAACTTCTTAAAATATATGCAGGGTGTCTCGTATATGGTGATTCAAGCGAGTACTCAATTTTAATTCTTTTAAATACGTTTACAAATATTACCATGTATCGAACAAAATATTATTAATTTACCGGATGCATTTGATTGCAAGCTCATGTCAGAAAAATGCACAAATATTGAACAAACTCGACAAATATTAAAATTTAATTTTTATTTTATAGTTTTATTTTTAATTTCTTGCGTAGAATCACCCTATCTTCTCGTTCGTATTACCAATTACAAAAAACCTTGTAAAATAAACAAAAAAATTAATAAAATTTGTTTTAATAAAACAAAATACAATACACCTTAGTAATGTTCTTTAAGAAATATATTATTTATTTAACCTCTATATATTGTTAACGTATAATATAATAATCAATCGTAATATATTTATATTCTATACTTAGTCAATGATATAATATAACGTGATGCAATATCAGAAAAAAATTGTCGATTCTCGCAACACGAGTTATAATATACATATATATACATATATATATATATATGTATATTTTATTTAAGTTTTACTATAATCCTTATAATTCATTCAATGTTCCATATATAACTTTATTCTTTCTTTTTCTCCTTCAATTATATTTTTTTTCCTCCACGTTTATTTATGATCACAAAAATTATTATCCTATTTATTTATTTAATATCTTTATATTTTTTTAATATAATTTTTTTTCCTGTTTCTACTTTTGTGGATTTGTTTGTTTGTTTGTTTGTTTGTTTTTGTTTCTTCCTTTAAGGCACATACGGTTAATATATTTTTTTTAATATATAAATTATTCAATAACGAATAATTGACCCACATTTAATGACACTTTTTGAAATATTTAATCATCATCATCATCATTATCCTTTTAATTTGTTTCTAATAATAGAAGACAAAAATCCAAAGATTAGAAGAAAGAAAAGAGGGGGGGGGGAGGTAGAAGGAAACAGGAAAGAGAACAAAATTTGATGAAGAAATAAATCAAGTTAAGTAAAAGATACGTGTTTTAAAATGCGAAAAAAAAGAATCATGGCAGATCTATCAAAAAAGGGAACAAAAGAGAGAGATAGAGAGAACAAAAAGAAAAAAAATAACCTTAAAAAGGTTATTACTAAGTTACAATTTACAAATGTTGAGAAGCACAAGATTGAACATTGTTTTGTGAATAAAACACAAAAGGAAAAAACAAACGTAAAAAGGATTGACAAGGATAAAGATAAATATAAAGAAAAAAAGGGAGGGGAGTTTGCAAAGGATGCGATCAATCCGACAAAAACAACAACTACCAACAACAACAAAATAAAGAAATAAGAAGGATTGGTAGGAATATACAAGAAGATCATTCGTTGGTCTACTAGAATGTAGAAGGATGAACAATTCTACGATAAGAAAACGAAGTTGTTATTGGTTGGTTGATCGAGTGTAGGGGAAGGGAAGAGGAATCTAAGAAAATACATATTCGATAAGTTGAGCATTCGAGATCGTGCTAAATCGAACACACACGGATATGTCCATTTTCTATTAAGTGTTTTCCCTTAAAGCAAACGCTGTTGATACCACGTAAGGAAAGACAATACTCCGATTGGTCTGAGCATGCGTACATGAATGTCTGATGTCTGGTGTATATATATATATATATGTGTATGTGTATTTATGTGTATATGTAACTCATTGAAATTGTGTGTATGTTTTTTTTTAAATCTTCTTTTCTATATTTCCTTTTAGACCTCGACCTTGTACGGTGATCCAGGAATGTGATCGTCACCCCACTTGACGATCACGATATATTCTCCTCGTTCACGTACCAAGTAACTGACGTTGTAGTTGTTTCTACCTGTGTGCTTCAAGTATACCTCCTCGCATGGTCCTTTGGGACCGTAAACGCCAACGTAAAGAATGTTGTTTCCTGTATAATTAACGGTCGGTCAGTCGTATCGATTATTATTATTATTATTATTAATGGAAATAAAATAAAAATATATATATTCAGTTAAATCAAAACATATAAAAAGAAAAGGTACACACACATACACATATACAAACATGGTAGATGATAAGAAGAAACGTTGATGAAACTCAATATGAATTTTTAATCATCCATCATCCCAGGTGTACCTTTTCCTTTTTTATATTTATACGTACACCGTTTTATATATTTATTATTATTATTATTATTGTTATTATTATTATTATTTGAAGCTTACCAGCATCACCGGCATTTACGGTGAACTGATTCTGCTTTCCCAAATAGGCCTTCTTAAGTCCCATACCTTTGCTCGTAACCTTACTCGCGTCTGATTTAAAAAGCGGTAACACGGGACCAGTTTGCTTTGCTTTAGATATCTTCTGTACTGTCTCTACCAGGATTGAACTCGTCTCTTGTGCACCTCTCTCTGCCAGATCCGCACCTGTAATTATAAAAAATGAAACGTATCAATTGATTTAAACTCTGAAAGGTACCTTCTGTTTTTCTTAATACTTTAATTATAATATTAAATAACAAATTTTTATTTTTTAATTCTTTACGGTCCAATTAAACCAAATTTAGGATTTGAGGATTTGTGAATCTTTGTTTAAGTATTTCTATTTCATCTAAATTTATTTATAAGAAATATATAATATAATATTAATTATATTAAATAATAATTAAATATTGATATAAATATTTATATAAATATTATAAAATTTTATTATTAAATAATAATTAATATTATATCAACTTAATTAAAATGTAATTAATAATAAAATATTATTAAAATATATATTTATTTACATATTTTTAAATATATTATTTATTTTTATTTTTTATTTTAATATTATTATAATATATTAATATCCTTTATATAATAATTAAAAAATATTTTCACATTGACAATAAAAGACAGGTAAAAATAATTCAATAACTTACCGGTACATGTTACTTTATACGGTGAACCAACGATGTGATAACCATTGTATTTGATACTGATATAATAATCACCAGGTACCAAAGGTGTATACCTGACTTTATAACCTTCCTCAACTTCTGTACAATCCATAGAAACCTTGCTAGGACCATCAACAGTAACACCAAGTGCACCGCTACCAGCGTTGCAAGTATCAATGATGAAATCTGTCTTTTGACCTGTCTTAACTTCCATTAAACCATTGCCATAAGCGTGCAATGCTGCTGGGTCGGCATCCACTTTACCGACTTTTATACGATAAGGGCTTCCAGATATGTGTACACCATTAAATTTCAAATACAAACTGTGAATACCATTCTCACGTGCCATAAATCTTACGGAATAGGTGTCAGAATCGATTGATTGTATGAAACAATCATCCTCAATGCCACTCGGTGATACAATCTATAAATAATTAATAATAAATATATTTATTTATTTCTATATATATATATATATTTTTTTTTTTTTTTAATATAATTATATTATAATAATAATAATAATATTATAATTTAATATAATTATTTTTTTAAATATAATTATTTATTTATTATAATATAATATAATTATTTATTATTATTATATATATAAATTATAATTATTATATAAATAATTAATGATAAATATATATATACACCAAAATTACAAAGAACATTTTGTTTTTTTAAAAGATTTGTAAACATGTTACATTTTAGTAGTCGTATTATTTTATCAAGTTCAAAAATAACTATAGTTAAATAAGTAACATAAAAACTATTTTTAAAATGATCCTTGAAAATAAATTTTATCTTAAGTTAAGAAGACCTTGACAAAGATCATTAACGTTTCAAGATCATCATCATCATCATAATCATCATCATCATCATTTTAGAAAGACTACTCTTACTCTTAACTCTCATGCAAAATATTTTTCTAGTAGTAATAATAGATAGATAATGATAATAATAATATGAAAAGTGAAGAAGAAGAAGAAGAAGAAGAAGAAATTTTCAAACGATAGTCATACGCCTACGCAAAATGATGTGTCAGTATAGTTTCATAAGAGAACCTCTCAACGAGTATTATTTTCGTCCATTATTTCGTAAGATCATTTTTTTAAGTTAGGTACTGTTTGAAATTCATCATGGAAAAATATATTATAATAACCAATAATAATATCTGTGTGAAAGATAAATAGACTCAAGTTGAAAAATATAATCTTTTTTTCTTTTTTTTTTTAAATGTGCCTAACTGTCAATGTTTCCACTAAATACTTTTCTTTTTTTTTAATTTTTATTTAAATAGATCGTACCTTTCCATCCAATTCACCCTTAGCTCCATTCTTCCTAACTAGGAAGGTATAAGGTTTGTCAGGTTGTACACCACTTTCCGGAAATTGTGCAACTTCTAATTTGTGTGCATCACCCATAGCAGGTGATATGTAAACTTTATATGGTGAGTCAGGAATGTGTTGATCGTTGAACTTGACTCCTATTCTGTATTCACCTAAAAATTACAAAAAAGAAAACAAAAAAACAATTAATCGAATATATAATATAATTAATGATATTTTCTTTTAAATTAAATCATCATTATCATAATCATCATTATCATCACTCCAAAGGTTTAATTTAAGATTTAACTTATATTTCCAATTATATATGTATAAATTTATTTGATTATATTCTAACTAACTATCCCTAAAAAAACAAATAATCAAATTCTCATTGACAGACCATCGTTGTCAGGTTCCTGGGATTCGTTTCCTTTTAAAACGATTTGCGTAGACGCTTTGAACGTTGCCATAAGGTAAATCGTTTATCCCCCTAACACGTGATGAAAATAAAGAAAACTTCCGTTTACGATGATAAACAAAATCGATTTTATCTTACGGTTAGATAAAGAGAGAGAGAGAGAGAAATAAATAATAGAGTGGGAGTAAAGTGTACAGTGTAAAGTGTAGGTAAGATAGGAAATGAAAAAAAGAGGAGGGGGAGAAATGAAGTTAAACGAAAAAGAAGAAATAGAAGAAATAGAAGAAGAAGGAAGAAGAAGAAAGAAAAAAAATGGGAGAGTTGTGTCCCGTTCACAACTCTGGAACCTGAACCAACTGTGAGTTAATTCGCGCACCACTACTTTCAGTTGAATCTAAGCTGCTGATCTCGAATCGTCCACAATGTTCCTCCACTACGACCACCACCCTGTTCTCACTCACTCTCTCTCACTCTCTCTTTCTCTCGTCGTAAGAGCACATGGACCAAATATAACCACAACGATAATCCACGTCAAGCTGTATACGTGTATGTATGTGCTACTCTCTCACCAGGGCAAAATATGGATCCCACCCTAACAAATATAGACGAAGATATTTCTGGATCAGCTGAAAAGCAGCCGATCAATCCGGCTGATGAGAGTGGGTGTCACCGAATTTCTCGACGACAACATTACCACACACACACACACACATACATGTACGAACCGAAACGAACTATAACACCTGCCTTATTTGTCTCCTAGGCGCCCTGACGTTTCATACTTCAATTTAAAATACCAAAAATGATCAGATAAAAATAGTTTAACAACATTTTTTAATAAATCTAGTCATCTATTATTATTATTATTAATTGGCATTAGGAACTTGAAAGTTCATTACCGCAAATACTAATTATTCATCTATTAGAAAACCTAAAACCTAAAAACCTAAAAAAGATTCTTTCTATTCAACAATTTCTACGTTCAAAAATGTTTACACTAAATGTAAGGTTTTTGATTTTAATAATTGTATATTATGAATCATTAGAATGAATGGAATATGTAAATAGTATCATATACCGTTTTCTGTTTCTAAGCCAGACTTTTATCTATCTCTTTTCATCTCATTCTCTCATTCTCTCTTTCTCTATTTCTCTCTCATTAGGAGGAATACATGAAAGAAACGGTTTAAAATCGTACGAATTTACGAGAAAATCTTCAAAGTAAGTGACATTATAGATCTACACGGGAGAGTTATAATTTTGTAAGATATAGTGACAAGCGGGACATCGGTTAACGGTAGTTTGCTGTGAAGGTATGAATCGACGTCTGGCAATGATCCATCTTTTTAAATGAAAAACCCTTTAATAAATGTCACAGTGAGGAGGCCTATTTAATTGATGTTTCCGCACCTTTTGAATTTTACGAGCTTAATGCCACTAGCGTAGGAGAGAAGATTATTTTACAAAACGCAAATATGAAATGTTATAAAATAACCTTAGGAGTTGTGATGATAATCTAATTAACATAACAATTTTCTTACCAGGTTCAGAAGCGACATAACTGACATAACAGCTTCCATCTTTGCGATCTTTGTAATCGATTTGAGCTTTGCTAGGACCCTCTACGGAAACTGCCAATGCACCAGCACCAGCTTCCCTCGTCCAGATGTTAAACTCGCATGGTTCTCCTTGTTCACCTCTTTCCAATCCAGGACCACCAGCATGGACCCTGTGTGCACCACCGTCTCTCAATGGACCAACCGTGAATTGGAAAGGTGATCCCGGAATGTGCATTTCCTTGTAACGAACCGAAACCGTGTGTACACCTAATTCCTTGGGTACAAATGCGACAGCATAAAGACCATCCTCGACTTCTTTGATCTCAGCATCTTCGGTGATACCACCAGGTGAAGTTACAGTAGCAGCAAGATCGAAACATGTGATACCTGGCATCTTAAACGTCAATTTGCATTGACTACCAACTTCTGTGATAGGAACAGCTTCTCTTTGTCTTTGAATTTTTTCTCTTTGACGATTGCTACCTTCACCGGTAACTTTGACCGCAAATGGTGAACCCTCGACATGGTGATCGGCAAATTTAAGATTAACTATGTAAATACCAGGCTCGGTAGGCTTGTAAAACATGTTCAACGTGCCATCCTCGTTGTCCTTGCACTGAATCTCAACTTTGCTAGGACCCTCAACAGAAAGTGACAAACCACCGAAACCAGCGTTTCTCGTATCAACCGAAAACGAATTTTCTACGTGCGTTTTTCCTTCTTTCAACGCTGCACCGGTTACTTTGACCTTTTTAGCATCACCAACTTCACGATCCTTAACTTCGATTTTAAACGGTGAATTTGGTATGTGTTTGCCCATTCGTTTGACGGATACAGCATGGGAACCAGCTTCGCGAGGTGTGAATGATACGCAAACGTTATCGCTAGGTAATTTCTTTAAGAAACATGGCTCCTCCAAACCACTCGGTGCTATTATCGATGCGTTCAATGATCTTATATCAGTGTCTGGTACTTTTCCAGGTAATTGTACCTCGCTACAGGATCCCACGGATATTTGATTTCTCTTACGACCCTCTCCTACAAATTTCATCATTATTTTTAATTAATAATTATTATTATATCGAATCTCAGGTATTTATACACTTAACTAATTTACTTTTATCATTTATAAATATAATTTTAATTTTGAAAGATACTTTTTTACTTGTTCAATTATTCGCAAAATTATTAAATAAAATAATTACCTGTAATTTTGGCGACGTATGGACTACCCTTAATATGCTTGTCACCGAATTTAACAGTGATTTTATATTCGCCAGGTGCGGTTGGTAAATAAGAAACCGAAACTGTGCCATCTTTGTTATCATGAAATGATATTTCAGCTTTGCTAGGACCTTCCACGGCCAATGACAATCCTCCTGCACCAGCACCTTTCGTAGATATCGTAAAGTTTCCTGGTTCACCGCAAACACCGTAAATCAAACCAGGACCGTATGCTGTTACGTAACCACTTGCCAAAGAATCTACGTGGAATTTGAATGGTGATCCTGTCAACAACCAAAAATAAAACGAAAATAAATTTAATAATAAAAGAAGGATGAATGTTACAATAATGTGTTAATTAATTAATTAATTTACCTTGTACGTGTTCCCCGTTAAATTTAACGTAAATCTCATGAAGACCTTCCTCCCTTGGCTCGTATTTTATGGAAACTGTGCCATCGTGATTATCCTCGATGACTGGTTTGTCAACGTTACCGCTCGGCATTTTTACCTCGGCTAAAAAACAAATTGCCAATGGATTTTTTTAATAACTAAAAACAATTTTTAACAAAATTAACACACATTAGGGTAATGAATTAATTAGAATTTTTATTTGGTATAATTTGATATACGAAACATTAAATATATTAATTATATAATTTAATATACCATATATTAAAATAACGCAAACGAGGAATAAAAATTACAAATTGTTAATTGGTTCATTGATAATATAATCAAATATAAGAAAAACCTTTTCTAGAGCTAACGTAGAAAAGACTCTGAAAAATGAGTGGAGCAAAATCAAGTCCAGGACCAGGTAATTCTGACACGTTCTTATCAATGTTTCCATAACAAATTGGTCTCTCGGGTTTATCAAATTCGCTGACTGAACAATTTTTCAACCAAGCTCTGTAAAATGTCGACACCTCGTCCCACTTGGTTTCTATTTCCTCGATTTCTTCTTCCCAAATCATTTCCAAAATATTTTTGTTGTTTTTTTTCTTTGTTTTAATTACTTTAACACTCGATCGTAACACCAATCAAATAGCAAAAAACTAATAAACTTGTTATCAATGTTTTTTGCCCTCGATCCGAGATCACGCGAGGATTGATAATTCTCAAGAGTATCCAGTATGAATTAATATTGATTTATCTTTAAATATTAAAAAAAAAAAAAAAGAAAAAAATACAGAAACCCTTAACCTATCCTTTACTTTTATAAATAATAAATTATAAATATATATATGTATATATATTTATGTGTAAAATTTGTTGAGTTCAGCCCTATACTAAATTTGGAAAGACAATGAATGATTTATATATATATATATATATATTTTTTTTTTAAATAGAACCAAATAAATATTAAAATAATTCCAAAAGTTTATAGAATTGTAAAATAAAAAGTATCTGTAATTTTTATTATTTTTTATAAATAAAAAAATTTTGTAAATTTACAAAACGAATCAATTGTGGTAGAACTGTCGATTTTTGATTATACGGAAGTTAAAACGCGCGCGTTCGTATTTTTTTCTTAAGAAAATTATTTAAATAATACAAATTAATTAATTATCCTCGTAATAGAAGAAAATGAGAGAAAGATAAGTAGATGGATGGAAAGAGAGAAAAAAAACACGCAAAGTCAAAAAAATTGTAGCGTTCTCGTAATTTCAATTTCGTAATGTGTTTGTGTTGTTTGTTGCTGCTGCTATTGAAAGCAGTCAAACAAAAAGAAATAAAGAAAGAAAAAAATGTAAAAAAAGGAATTATAAGGTCGAAGTTATAGTAAGAATTCAATCGACCACACGAAAAGGCATCTCTTGCAAGACTGAGAAGACCGCAGCTGCTAAAGTTACTCGAGAGCCGGACGATGGCAGCCTTAACTGCTGCTGCTGCTGCTGCTGTTGCTGGTTCCCGGGAAACCTTTTTTTTTTTCCTTTTTATTTTCTTTTTCCAGTATACCCATCCCAGTAAAAACGGGAATACGTACGATTTTATATCCCTCACAACGTCCAACGTCTATCAAATTTCTCCCTCTCCTAATCCTAAACCTTCCACCAGTAACAGTTTTCTCATACCACCACCAACTAACCATATCACCAATCATATGTTTTCGTTTTAGTAACTACCCCCCCCTTCTCTTCTATCACACTTCTATCTAAATCTTTCTTCTCCTTCTCTTTTTATCCGGGTCTCCTCCAATTCATTTTCTCCACTATTCCGAAAAGCAAATTTTGCCAAATTTTATTCGAGGTTTATACATTTTTTGTTTGTTTTATTTTTTTTTTTTCATTTTTTTCTGTAACCCCATTATAAACGATTAGATAATAATAGATGGGTTAGATAAAAAATTTATATATTTATATAGGTTGAATAAATATTATATTGGATAATTCTCCAAAATTGTTGTTTGTGTATCGTTTTTAAAGTTTAATTAAATTTTATTTTATTTCATTATATTTTATATTATATATATAGTATATGTAACATATTCTATATAATAATATATTATTTTGTATTCGTTATAAATGATTAAATAATAATAGATTAATAAAAAATAAATTTATATAGGTTGAGTAAATATTGTGTTGGATAGTTTTCCACAATTTTTGTTTAAATAGTTTTTAAACATTAATTAAATTTTATTTAACTATTATATATTATTTTGTTATATTTGTTATAAACGATTAGATAATAATAGCTTGCTTAAAAATAAATTTATATATTTATATAGGTTGAATAAATATTATATTGGATAATTCTCCAAAATTGTTGTTTATATCGTTTTTAAAGTTTAATTAAATGTTATTTGAATATTATATATTATTTTGTAATTTATTATAAATAATAGATTTGTAAAACCTAACGTAAGAACCTAACAAACATAAAATAAATATAAAATTGTTCTAAATATTTTTATTTTATCCAAAAATGTTGTTCGAATCTTTTCAGATACCAATGAAATATCATTCAACTTCTATACAATTTTTTCAATCCATTACAAATGGATTGTAATTATTATTATAATTAGATATACCTATAAATTACTACAACAAATTTATTATTAATTATACAACACTAAATTTTAACCATTTTTAATGCAACAACAGATTCAAGTCAACAAATTATCACAAATATACAAAAATAATACACTTGTAAATTAAATTACTATTAATTGATTTACCCCTTCCACCCCTCGATAAAAATGTTAAAAAATTAAAAAAAAAATGTGATTAATTTATATAACTAAAAAAAATAATTGGAATTTCTAAGATAGATAAGACCGACAAAAATTTGGCTTGAACGATATGTTAAAACCTCTTGCTGGCTCTTTTTCCACAAGTGAAGGAAGTAGTCGAACAACCAACCAACCAAAAAACCAACCGATCATCATCATCCATTCGCATAACTTGGGGTACGCGCCAAAGGCAACACGAATAAGTGAAATAGTCACCCTGTTTCATCTGACTGATTGCGGACAACCGTTAACCATCCCTCTTTCCCCTACCCTTTCTTCGTTAAACTAGTAGAACGTTGTTAAATTACTCAGGAAAAACATTTCTCGTAATTTGATTAGGAACTTTGTATAACTAATCCAACAGTTTAAAAGATGCAAAGATACAAGAGAAAATTTCAATCGTTAATTAAATTCAACATTTATGATTAATGATTTTCTTAAAGTTTTTTTCTGGTAAATATTTAATTAAACTTATTTGGAACTATGTGGAAATGATTTGTTATTTTAATTAAAGTATTTATTATAAATTTGATTTTCAATTATCGTAGTTTATTTTTATTCGATGCAATTTTTGAAAATATAAATATGTTAAAATGTTATTAGTGTATTGTTTATTAATTATTTCGTTATTTTATTTCTTTTTTCTTTTTTATATATAAATTTAGAATATTATTATTTATATATATAATTTATTTTTATTATAGCAAAGTTGTACATCTAATGTACAAAAAATTAAATCGTGCAACCGAAATTCTTTAAATATCTGTTTTTATATTTTTAATATATTTTTTTTAAAGACCTTGGATTAAAAGTTCAACACACCGAATTTTAAAATTGATTAAATAGATCAACAAATGTACCTAACTTTTAAAAAAATACCAACACACTTATTATAACCCTTTACTTTTACTATAACTATAAAAGTTATTATTTTAGTTATAATTTTTTAAGTTATAATTTTAGTTTTCAAAATTATATAAAAAATATTTAATTTAATTTCAAAAAACCAGGAAACAATAACCATTAAACTTTTACAATGTTTTATCCATTAAAAACCATTTTCCCATTTATCAACAATAATTTATAAATTGTTATTATTTCAATATAAAAATTCTGAAAAATAAAATATTTATCCTCGTACTCCTACTCATTCGTACCATGAATTAATATTACGTTGAAAGAATTACTTTAGCTAGCCTAACTAAATATCTTTGGTGAGAAATAAAAAAGAGAAAATAAAAGAAAAAATCAAAAAAAAAAAATAGAAGAAAAAGAGGAAGAGGAAGAGGAAGAGGAAGAAGAAGAAGAAGAAGAAGAAGAGGAAGAGAAAGAAAATAAAAATTCATCTCTTCTAACTCAAAGTAACAAAGTGTACTTCCCCCTCCCTTCCACTTCTGCCCCACCACTCCTGTCCCCCTACTTCTTGACCATACTTTTACGAGCAAATCTTTTGGCGCCGTTACTTACGTCACTCGGGAGAAGAAAATAGAAAAAATAAAAAAAAAAATAAAAAAAAAAGATAAGTCTGTGAATTCTTGCAAATATTCGAAAAGGGAACCCCTCTTCTTATAATGGCCTCGTAAATATCTTTAGAAAGCTCGCTAAGATATTTTCGGGGGATTCGTGTCTTACAGTATATAAAGTAAAATTACGATGAGAGATATCTTAAGGACACCCTTTTTTCTCTCTTACTACTTCCTTCACCCTTTACCACAACTATCACCACCATAAACATATATAATTCTTATTATCTTTGCTTATCTAAGATAGTTTGTAATTAAAATTTTCATAACGCGTCAATTTATCAAAATATTTTTTCACACTTTTAATTATATTAGCAACAAAATAAAATAAAAAATGTGTTAATTGAATAAATAAATGTTTATGATCATTATAAATAATTATCTTTCATGTGTTATTAAAAGAATAATTAAAATTTTTATAATGCAATTTTATGATCCTTGTATCTAAAAGGATATATCGAAATTGTATTTGTATGAGGATCATAATAAAAATTATTTTATTATAGTATCTTATTATAATGTATGTATTTTTTAAAGTGAATTTTTTAATAAAATTTTAACGATTCGAAAGATGGAGAATATTGTTACGTATAACATTTATTTTAAAAGCTAATAAAATACTCAAGAGAAATATTCGAGATGTTAAACCTTGAACCAGAGTATCTTAGTATGTTCCAAGCATATGATCAATTCATTTTTAATGCAAATTGTAACTAAATTTAATGAATGTGAAAATTATCATTAGCAGAAAATTAATAAGAAAAATTTTTAAAAAATATATAATATAATCAAAACAAAAACCTTGAACCAAAATATATTTTTTAAACATACAACCAATTCATTTTTAATATAAATTTTAACTATATATAATATAAATTTAAATATGTGAGAATTATCATTTATAGGAATATAATAACAAAAATTTATAAAGAAGAATAATTAATCAAGAAAAAAAGCTACGAATCAAAGTATCATTCCAACATATTTTAATAAAATTAACCTATAATAAACTAAAATTTAATTTAAAAAAAAAAAAAACAGGAACAAAAATAAATAATAACCAACAATAAAAAAGAAACTATTGAAAAAAAGAAATAAACTAAGTTAACCTAACAAACTAATAAAATAAAATTTAATTAAAAAAAATAAATAATAACCAACAATAAAAAAAAAAACAAGCATTAAAAAGAATAAACAAACTAAGTTAACCTAAATTCTTAATAGAATACAGCAACCAATGAAAGTATGATCACTCTCGCATCATCTTGGAAGAATTTACAAAATGGCCGAAATATTAAGGTTCGATAACCGAGAATTACTCAAAAACTACTTGCATTCATGCAAAAGCTTTCCCCCCTAACAATTTGAAGGAAATTCAAGATGTGACCCAGAAAAATTGAATAAAAAAAAAAGAAAAAAAAAGAAAAGGAAGAGTATGAGTAGGTAGAGGTGAGTAAAATGGAGTTTAGAATGTTGAGTGGAAAATGAAGTGGAGGGGATTGATCTTTTTATGGATTTCCGTCGACGACGACGACGACGACGACGACGAAGACGACGACGCCGGAGGTTTTGGTTTTTGGAGCATCTTCGAGCCCGCGCATCCGAAGACACTTAATCATCCAATATTAATATCACCCGCTAGCATTTCCGACGCATCATCGAGTACCCCGTTCCTCCAGTTTCCCTCTTCCACCTCCACCACCTCCCCTTCCAGCTTGTTTCCCCCTTTATCCTCTAATTCCACCGTATTTTTGGCCAAATGGCGGAAACAACCGCAAACATTTTACAACAAAATACTAAGAACATTTCAAATATTTTTCTTCCTTTTTCTTTTTTTTTTATTACATCATTGACATAATATTATTTCAAATCGTTGATAATCTTTTCCAAGGATTTGGTTCATTTTTTGTTCTTTAGGTTAGAAAAGAAAGTATTGTGAATGAAAACGAAGTCATTTGACTTTTGAAGTCTTTTTTTTGTGGGGTTTTTTTAGTCTCAATGTATATGAAATCATTGATAATCTTTTTCAAGGGTTTGTTTTTTCTTTCTTTTTTTAGGTAAGAAAAGAAATTATTGCGAATAAAAAAGAAGTAATTAAATTAATGATGAAATTGAATGAAATTAATTTAATAGAAAGATATTTCGTTTGTCAGCATCTGTCAACTTTGTTTTTTTTTTTTCATTCATTGTGAGAAACTTTTAACAGATTATATGAATCGTCATAGATTTTGAAGAATGTTGCTTATGTTTACGAGTAAAATTAACTAAAATATAATAATATTTTACACAAATAAATACGTGCTTGTAAGAAAATAGATTTAGATTTCTAAATAAATCTTAGGTATAGATTTAGTTAAAATCATTGCATCTCATTCAGTCTTGGCATTAGTGTCACGAAAATCGAGTATTTTTGAATGATGTTGTTTACGTTAAAGAAAAATAAACAAAATGAAATAAACATTCTTTTGAATGAATTTTTAAACAACCCTTTACTTGTAAAAAAGAAAAATAATTTGATAAAGATAATGAAACGTTATAATTTTAAAAATAAAATTAACAAAATGAAATAAACATTCTTTTGAATGAATTTTTAAACAACCCTTTAATTGTAAAAAGAAAAATAATTTGATAAAGATATTGAAACGTTATAATTTTAAAAATAAAATTAACAAAATAAATAAAATAAACAAAATGAACTAAACATTCTTTTGAATGAATTTTTAAACAACCCTTTACTTGTAAAAAGAAAAATAATTTGATAAAAATAATGAACTATTATAATTTTTCGAAAGTATCCTGATTTTAAAAATTAAAACATATGGAAGTAAAAAAAAAATAGAAATTTATATTACATAGATAAACCAAAAAAAAAATGTCTTCCTGTTTTTAACAAAAAAATCTGTAATTAAAATGAATACGAACTTGAATTAAACGATCATTTCAAAGTATGATATATAAGTTATAATTATAGTCGAATAAAAACGATAATTTTCATCATGTCACACGCTCGTAATTTAGATTATGGTCCTTTAACAAAATTCAGAACGACCAGCATGAAAACCTGTCGCGTCCATCAAATGCTAACACTACTAATACTACTACTACTGTTAACTATTACTATTACTACTACTATTACTGTTATGTAGTGAGTTAGCAAGCGTACAAATCATTAATGAGGATAAAATTTGGTAGACACGAGTAAGGAATACAAATAAGTATCAAAAATATTTGGACATGTTCCAAATCATATTATTCATGATTTTCAGAATTCAATGATTTATCATGTTCCATCAATTGACAAATATTTTCTATTTGAGATTATATGTGAATAATAATAATAAATAATCGATATATTTAATAATTTACTAATAATTTTACTAATAAATTTATGATTTTATGATATTAAGATATGAGACAATTTATATTGTTTATTTTATGTTGTTCAGTCGATTAGAAATACTTCAATAAATTGTATAAAATATTTCTAATAAATTATGAACAAATTTTTGTAAAAGTTTATATTGTTCATTTAATAATATTTGTAAAAATACTTCAATAAATCATAGAAAATATTTGTACAAAATTAGGAAAACAAATTTAATTTTGTCTCATTATATTCTACGAAAAAATTCACGATTTTAGTATACTAACCATTAGACAATTAATATTGTTTATTTAATATTTGTAAAAATACTTTAATAAATTATATAAAATATTTGTACAAAATTAAGAAAACAAATTTGATTTTCTCATTATATTCTACGAAAAAATTCACGATCTTATTATACTAACCATTAGACAATTAATATTGTTTATTTAATATTTGTAAAAATACTTTAATAAATTATAAAAAATATTTGTACAAAATTAGGAAAACAAATTTGATTTTGTCTCATTATATTCTACGAAATAAATTCACGATTTTATTATACTAAGACAATTAATATATTTGTTGTAATCAATTAATAAATAAAATAATTATTATTGATAAAATTATATTATTAATTATCATATTATTCATATAATACAATATTCCTCAGAATAATATGCTTTGAATAGATGCCAAAACAACGATCATTCCTCGTTTACGTTTTTAAATGACCGACTATTAAACACCCTGGAAATAATTTCGTGATTTCAAACAAACGATCTGTTTTTGTTAAAGAATAAAACGTTCTTATCTATTATTCCAAGACTGATTCTTGTTTGAAATATTTTTTCTTGTATTATTTTTTCTTCTTTTTTTTATAAAAATATAATAAAATCCCTACAATCCTGAATTTACACAAGTCACCATTAAGAGAACGTCAAAACATAGTAAAGTAAAATTAAACGTTTAGAATCGTTTAGAAAATACTTGAAATTGTTCAGTCCCATTCCAATAAATTCGATGACAGGAATGATCTAACGTTTATGCATTAGTCTTCTCCAATGAGAATCATTCATTCTGGTTACGTCAACAATATATCTTTTAAATAAACTTATTTTACAAAGAATTTCGTGTCCTCTCTGAATTTCAATTGGACAGAAACGAACAGAAAAAAAAAAAAGAAAAAAATAAGAAAACACAAGTAAAGAAAAACATTCTTCGTGAAGATCTTTTTTTAATTTTTTTTCCTTCTCATTTTATATTATTATTAATATTACTATTATTATTATAATCCCATTTCTCAGTTTGTTATTTTCGATATTTTTTTTCCCCCTTATATTTGTTTTTCTTTTTTTCTTGAAGAATAAAATTAGAATATTTTTTTTTCTTCTCAAAAATCAAGTAATTGTTTTTTTTTTCTTTTTTTTTTGGATCATCTAAATATAATAAAAGGATGAAATATATATAGATATATTTATACTTACATGTAACTGTACCACTGGCCAATGGCAAGGGGATACTGTTCAATCTTATTGAATCGAAATTTTTCTTCGATAAATTTTGTTGATTTGATGAACTGCTAGTACTCTTTGTGGTAACCGTTGAACTTTCTTGTATACTTGTTGTACTACGTTGTTCAAGAACGTGTTGTTCTTGCCTTTGTCGAGATTTCCTTCCACGATGGGTTTTGTGCGTACTGTGTTCCCGATATTCTTCCGATGCCTAAAACAATAATAATAATAATAATAATATATTGTATAATCATTAAAGAAAAAACAATAAAATTATATTTTATTTCCATGATATTAAACAAATTGAAACACACACATTACCAATTGCTAAAAATTTAAAGTTTCTTTTAAAAAAATATTTTTAATAATATTTTTCTTCTAAATATTAAAATCAAATCAGTAAATTAATTAATTTTAAAATTAACAAAATAAATTATCGTTGCAATTAAAATATGAACAATATTAAAATAAATTTAAAACTCAAATGATCGTAGTCAAAAGTTTTCCTAGAAAATTTGTCCACCCAAAATCACTAGATTTAGAATTGTTCTAACATTTAAGGGGTACACAAAATATTATTTAATTATACTGAAGATTCAAAATTTCTTTTGAAATTTTTCTTCCTATTTATCTGAACTTTCAAATAATTTGTTGGATTCTAATTAAATTTAGGGGCTAGACAATATATTTTGAACGATATTAAAATTGTAATAAAAATATGAAACATTTTCTTCCTTTTTTTTCTATTTTTTCTTTGATAAAAATTTAGTTAATTCTTGAACGATGATCAAGAAGTTCTATGGATCGCATTTACGAAAAAAGAAAGGAAGAAAGGAGAACGAGGAATTTCCGGAATCAAGAGGTGATGGTGCACGACATACTACACATAACACACATACACACATACACACACCTCATTACGAAAGAATTTACGTATTTCTAGGCTGGTACTAAGCCAAACTGTGCAACGTGTATAGAATTTATTATATAACTACGTCAGAATTCTTGCAAAATCTTCTAATCACGTGGTTTTATTCGACTATAGAAAATGGATTGCGGATGGTCCGGATTTGCGGACGTGACCAACCTTTTTTTTATGCGCATTATGATACCACCCAGCAATATATGATTCATTATATTATCTTCTTCTTTTTCTTAAAAAAAAAAAAAAAAACAAGAAAAATCTAACAATTTTATCAACAAATCTAGTCGACTGTCTCTCCCGAAAAAAAAAAACAAATTATTTTTCTTAACAAATAAAATTCCAATAGAAAAACAGAAAACAAAACAAAACAAAAAATAACCCTAGTAGCACAAAATATTGAAAAATATTGGATACATGTGTATTTTATATTAAAAAGAGATTTAATGTCTTTTTAATATTAAATACACATGTATTCAATATTTTTCAATATTTTGTGCTACTAGTGATTATTATACCATAAAATAGAAAAAATATATTCACCAAAATTCTAATCGAATTATTTAAAAATTTACAAAGATAATTTTTTACTAATAGATACTATTAATTATTAATATTAATATAATAATAGTTTTAATATTAATAATATTACTAAAATTAAATTTTTTTTTAATACTAATATTATTAATATTTTTAATAATTATTTAAATTATTATATTATAATTATTATTATTATTATTATTATTATTATTATTATTATTTTTATTATTATTATTATTATTATTATTATNTTATTATTATTATTTTTATTATTATTATTATTATTATTATTATTATTATTATTATTATTATTATTATTATTATTATTATTATTTATAATATTAATAATATTAGTATTAAAAAGAAAAATTCAGACTGTGTAATATCAAAACACATAGACCATGAGAGATAAAATGTAAAAACTTTCAAGAAAAAAAAAAAGAAGTATAAAATAATATTAATATGTAATAAAAAAATCACTGTACCTTGAAACAGATCTAAATATTTCAATAAATAATCATAAAACGTAATAATTATAATAACTAAGATCGAAATGTTACCAAACTCACGTATCGTTGCTAACTGACTGACGATTTTCAGGCACAATGCTAAATTCGATGTTACCATAATAGATATCTAGCCCCCACCTACGTACAATCAAAAAGGATAAAGGAAAATAAATGTGGGTGAGGGGATTAGGGTGTGGGTCGGGGTGTGAAGATTAAGAAACGACCATTGACATTGTTAAATGTCATGGAACTCAAATGTCCCATAAACTCGACGAGTGGAAAAGAAAATTATTGTACAAGGCCAATCATTTTCTTAATCCAAATTGTTAAGGGTAGCAACAGAAAAACAAAAGGTTTCCATACAAGTAATTATATTTAAAAAAACATTTTTCAACAAAATTAATCAATCTCGCGTAATTTGTGTTTTTCCAATCACGAGAAAATAAATAAAAGTTTAAAAAGAAAAGAAACTTGCCTAACCTGAAGGTGAAGGTGAGGGTAAAGTGTGGGGGTGGGAAGGAGCGTCATTTAAACAAGATCAAATTGAGTTGGGGGTTGTAAATTACCTGTTTTTTATTATTTTATCTAATTTACTTTTGCTTATCGTAAAAAAAAAGTAAAAGTAAATAAAAAATAAAATACGTTGTGATAAAGGGTTAGCATGAACTAGATAAAAAGTTGATAAAAAAAAAAGAAAGATAAGGTAAAGGTGAACAGGGTTAGGATTGGTTTATTTGTTTTAATTTACTTTTGCTTATCATAATTAAAAAAAAATAATAAAAATAAAAATAAAATTTGTTCAAAATAGGGCGTAGCATAAACAAGGTAAAAAGTTAAAAAAAAAAGAAAAGATAAAATGAAGAGTGGGAGCGTTTGGAGGGTTGAAAATAACCAAGTCCTTTTGGTCTAAACGTTAATAACGTGCTTGAGTGTTAGGAAGATAAACACAAGAGTGAAACGGGAAGTGAAGATGATAGTGAAGATGATGATAATGATTATGATAATTATGATGATGATAAGCATAATATCCAGTATCAAAGTTTCCCGTTGTGAATCGCGAGTTCGTCTTTGAGTTTAAATTAAACTTTACTTCTCGGTGGCATTAATTCACGTGCCATTTCTCTCTCTCTCTCTCTCTCTCTCTCTCTCACTCACTCTCACTATATTTCGTTCTCTTTAGTCCACCACCCACCAACCAACCAACGAACGGCAAACGTTGCCTTGCTTATAAATTTGGGAAAGGAGACGGCATTCGTATACTCGAAATAGTTTATGAGGTCGCGACTATGCCCTACCAACATTATACGGATTAAATTTCAAATTTCATTATAGGTTTCATACTATTTCATATCGATTATTATATTCAATATATGTTTTTTTTTTTTTTTTTCATTTAAACGTAAAGAGAGAGAAAGAGAGAAAGAGAGAGGGAGAGAAAGAAGAAACAAATTCATTTGCAGAGAAAACAGAAACCAATATTTTTCGTAAGTATATTTTACACTGTTATGTTTTTGATAAATTTCTTCATCATTTCTTTTTACTTTTTTTTTTTATTTATTTCTTTCTTTTATTTATTTTGTCTTTTTGTAGGATATAAATTTTAAGAACATTTTTCTATAGAATAAAAGTGATTGAAATGGTAAGTGGTTCGCAAGAATGTAATTCAAAAATATAACATTGAAACCTATGCTTCATGTTTTATTTGTTTAACATTAGTTAATTAATTATTTCAATTTTTCAAATTAAATTCACATTCTCATATTTTTCTGTTTCTTATTTTGCTATTTAATTTTCATTCTCGGTTTCAAATAAAAAGCCTGATAAATATGTAATTTAAAATACGTATAATTAAAAACAAGCTCAATACTTTATTTTATATTATTATCAAATTGCAAAAATAATTAATTATTTAAATTCAAATTCTTTTTTTTATTATATCACCTCTTTTAATTAATTATAAAAAAAATACGTAAAAACTTCCTTCTATATCGGTTTAAAAGTAAAGAACCCAATACATATCATTGCGAAAACACCTAATTAACAATAACTAAAGAAACGAATTAATTAACAAATACTCTATTTAATATTAATATCAAATAAAAAAATAATTAATTATTATAATTAATATTATTTTCTTTTTTATATAACCTGTCGTCCTAATTAATTATTAAAAATAAATTTCTAAACTTCCTATATCAGTTCAAAGTAAAGAACCTAATAAATGTCATTGCGAAAACACATAATTAATAATAACTAATGAAACTAACTAAATTAACAATCAATTAACAAATACTTCATTTCATATTATTATCACATAAAAAAAATAATTAATTATTTCAACCCATTTCTTATGTATTACATCACCTGTCCTAACTAATTACCAAAAACAAACTCGTAAGAAATTTTCTATATTAATTTTAAAATATGACACGGGGTTAAGGTACGTGTGTATGGTTTGAAAAGACATAATCAAAAGCGACCAGCAATCTATCTTCGTCTCTCTCTCTCTCTCTCTCTCTCTCTCTCTCTCTATGAAGTATTTTCAATTTTGGTTTCCATGCATGTTCGTTAATGAAACCGGGCGGAACATCATGCTTGCTCGAGCCTGACACATGCCGAAACGTTTAAATCAACGACTTCCAGTCCTCGTTCAACACATAATCCCTTCCCTTTCCTTCCCTACCACTTCCCTACTCCTCTCTCTCACACATACACACATTATTTCTTTTTCTATCTTGGTAGAACGAGACGTGCTGAGGGAAAATGAGGAAAAGTGTGGTATAAAATGTGAAATTATTTTCAAACGTTTGATACTTCAGTTACTGAAATCAACGAATCCTGTGTTGTCGTGGGAGGTAAGAGGAGAAGGGTGAAGGGGGAAGGAAATGGGGTTTTGTTAATAGTAAAGCAAAAAGTTTAGGTAACTAGATCAACGTATTTGTTTGTGTGTACGTATTGGATGTGTATATGTGTGTGTTTGTTTATAGGACTATGAGATTTATTGCATTAATGTATACATATAAGTGATTATTATCCTTTACGATAAGTATACATATTATGCGTTTTCATAAGTATGCAGTTTGAAAATTTCTTTATTGTTTTCACGATGAGTTACGTATGTCTGATCTTATGACAGTGTGTTTCTACTTATAGAGGCTGACCATACCGTTGTTACTTACTACTACTTGTTATCTTACAATTCTATTTCTAATACTACTAATATATATTTATTTAAAACGATAATATAATAATTTGTGGAATATTGAAAATAAGTTATAATTATAGTTGTGAATTATGATAATTATTAACGTAACTATTTGTTGTAAGTTAATTTATATTTCGTTTTTTTTTTTTTTTAATTTGATATGTTACCCACTCAAATCGAAACCGAAATTTGGATTAATACTTTACATTGTAATATTTAAATAATAATATAATATTTTAATAATAATAAATTAAAAATATTACGTTATAATATTAAATAATAAATATAATATAATATTTATATTTTTTCCTTTATAAAGGAAATTCTTTCTTTTTTTCCGTGGTATTTTTTCAAAGATATAAGAATAAAAAATAAAAACTAAAAAAAAAAAAAAGGTTAACAAAGTCAAATCTATTTTGTATTATTACCAAAACGTATATTACGTAATACGAATAAAAAAAAAAAGAGGAAAAAACAAAAAACAATATTTTAACTAATTTATTTGTATAATAATAGAAAAGGAAAGAAAAAGAAATATTATAACGTACATTAAATAATAAAACTTTGTTCGCGCGACAATGATATAATAAAAAAAAAAAAAAGAATTTATATTTAATACTGAAAAATTAAAAACAATTCTCAAATCTAACATAATTCTCACGTTTTTATCAATAATATAATTGTTGTTAATCGTTTAACTATTAACGTATCTTCTCGTTTGACGATTAACAAAATCATAGAACCATCCTTATATTTAAAATCATGCTGGACAACTCAACACACACACACACAGCCAATCAGAAGATACATGCTTGATCATACACACGAGAGAAAGATAAAAAGAGATAGAAGAAGGTGCAACAGGTATTGCTAATGAAAAGAGGGGATGAAACATGAAGGGAAAAAAATGGTGCATTTGAAATAAAATAAAATTAAATGTAATATTATTTAGGGTGAATCAAAAAGTTCCTAAGTAAACGTATGTTTAAACTTTTACTTTGAAACAATTGCATAATATTACTATATAACAGTGAGGTCTATGTTTTTTTTTATAAAATTTTACTTTAGAAAAAATTCATATAAAAAATACACGAATTTTTAGTTTCACCCTAACAAAAAAGAAAGAAAKAAAAATTACACTTTACTATGAAACAATTTCATAATAATGGGGTATTTGTTCTTTTGTAAAATTTTACTTTAGGAAATATTGTAATATATAAAAAATAAGAAAAAATAATATAAAAATAAACTTTTGGTTCACCCTAATAAAAAAGAGAAAGAAAGAAACAAAAATCACAGAATGTGAGACAGAGAAAGAAAGAAGTAAAATGAGTGTGAATGAGAAAATGATTTTTACTTGATAAAATATTGAACGTTGATGTTAAACGCGTTGAACAGGAATTTGTACGACGATGAATAAAATAATAATGTTTAAATAATATTATCTAACACTTTTGGTGCGAACACGATGAGTCTTCGGAGTGGACTGTTTCTCTGGAAAACTTAAACGATAATAATCCTGTGTGTGATCTCTCTCCTACGTGTTTGCCTCTATAGTTAGAAACACCTCGCCCCACTAAGTCCCTCCTCCTCCTCTTATTCGAACATCGAATGATCAACAGGGAACAAGAAAATAGAAGAACAAACACACATATACTACAACACGTCTCGAGATTTTCTCATAATCTATTCTATTCTTTTATGTCTTTTTTTTATTTATCAATTTACGTCTAGTTTTGTGTTTTATATTTTTTTACTTACCATTAGAATTTGAATTAAAATTAGAAAATTACTTTGGATAAAAAAATTTGTAATATTTTTTTTAATTTTTAATTTCTAATTTCTAATTTGTTTGTTAATGATAAAATAAATATGCTTGATTAAATGGTAATAGGTTTTTTGTATTTTTTTTGTTTGGTATATTGTTGGAAATATTATTAGGTTGACAATTAAATTCCCGTCGATTTTTCTTTTTAAATTTTTAACAAAAGATAATACGTTATTGTTAATTTTTATTGCAAGAAAAAAATATAGTAGAAATTTCGTTGCTAACCCAATATTTAGTTAATTTTTTTATATTTATTTTATGTTTTTTAAAATTTAATATATATATAATTTATAATTTCATATATTTAAACTTATAATAATAATATATATTAAAATAATAAATATATTTATAAATATATTTATATTTTTTTATAATACGATTGAAAAATTAATTTTGATATTTTAAATACAATTTAATATAGAAAAAATTTTTTTTTTAAATTGCTAGCTGGACAATTAAAAAATTCTTATTTTAATATAAAAATTTGTTTAAATTAATAAAACATAATTATAGTATTTGCTTACCGTAAAAGTATAGAGTCCTTCTGGAACAGGTTGTCCACCGAATTTTATGCTAAGCGTGTAATCACCTGCATCAGCTACCGTGTAATAAATGTTGACAGTTCCATCACCGTTATCTTCGATGTCAATGTCCACCACTTCACTGTAAAATAATATAAACAAACGTAAAATAAAACGTAATATAAACATAACGTAATAATATATATACTTTATAACTTATATCTCATATTAATATACTAATTAACTAGTTAACTAATACTGTATACTATTTACTATATAATTTAATTTAGTATATAGTTAATTAGTATATAGTAATTAGTTAATTACTATAATTGCAAAATTATATATTACACATATTTAATATTATTATTATTAAAAAAAAAGGATTAGATTAAATATCGATTCTAAGAAGGAGACATAAGAGAAAACAGTTGGCAAGATCGAAAACTGTATACGAAGCATTTGATATGGCGCATGACTAATGCTTCAACAGGTGGATAATGTAAAATTTCATTAATCAACGTCAAAATACTTTCTACTAAATACAATATATGTATAGAGCTTTGAATTAATCGATGAAAACAAAATTCAACTTGCGAAAGTAATACCGACATATGAACTATAACAGTAACCAAAAGTGTTACATTATTTTATATAATAATAAATTTCCATAAGTTTAAATTAAATATAAATTAAATATAAATTAAATATAAATAATATTAAATTAAATTAAATATATTTTTTAAGATAATTTTTATATAAATATGAATTAAATTAAATTAAATATTTTTTTAATATAATTTAAATATAAATATAATTTAAATTAAATAAAATTAAATATATTATTTAATATAATTTATATTCAAATATAAATTAAAATATAAATTAAATTAAATTAAATATAAATAATAAAACAAATATTAAACTGTTCGATTATTTATCTAAAATTACTAATATAATAAATCAACTTTTTAATATTAATTTTCTTTCTATATTAAAAGAATGCCACAATGATCTTATTGATCTCTCACATTATCTTTCATTATAACAAATGATTCAAAATTTTTGTAAAATTTACTTATAAACAAAATTCATTTATTTAAATGATACTTATTTAAGTATGTTTAATTGTTTTCAAATGTCAGACACGTTAAACTAGTGGAAATACCAACTTGGCTATTCGATAAAACCTGGCCCCATGCGTGTTTGTTCTTGGCAGACTAACAATGGTAGCATTAGAACACCAGACAAAATGAATAACGATAACTACTTGATCTGTTAAGATCAACTGCCAAGAGGGAAAGAAAATATGTTTAATACAAAACAAAAAACTCTTTTAATTCTTGTCCAGTTGCCAAAGTAAATTAAAAACTTTCTACTATTAAATATTTATTCTAATTCAAATAACAATTAATTAATCATTAAAAGATGAAAAAAAACACAATGCTACCATTATAATATTTATAATATTATTCATTTATTATAATATATATATATATATATATATATATATATATATATATATATATAAATATAATATAATAAATTATATTAAAAAATATAATTTATTTTATAATAAATTATTTGATAAAAATAAAAATTATATATTATAATATTTGTTCTTATTTTNATTTTTTATATTTTTTTATTTGATTCAAAGTATCAACGAATTTAATTTCGTCCTACCCTTTAAAAGAAATTAATTCTTGTCAAGTTGCCAGAATATATATATATATATATATAAATATTTTAATATTAATAAATTTAATATAATAAATTATATTAAAAAATATAATTTATTTTATAATAAATTATTTGATAAAAATAAAAATTATATATTATAATATTTGTTCTTATTTTTTATATTTTTTTATTTGATTCAAAGTATCAACGAATTTAATTTCGTCCTACCCTTTAAAAGAAATTAATTCTTGTCAAGTTGCCAGAATAAACAATTTAATTAATATAATTAAATCATTAAAAAATGAAAAAACAGTACTATTACAACCTATTTATAATATTTGTTCTTATTTTTTATTATTTTATTTGATTCCAAGTATCAACGAATTGAATTTCAGAACACAAAACAATTTCAAAATTTTTACAATCGTCCTACCATTAAAAAAAAAAAAATCAAAGAAATAAAATCCTTCTTCTCCTAAACCAAAGAAAAAAAATAAAAAACAAGAAACGTATGATTTACGATTACATTTTGTGACATGTAAGCATTCGCAAGGTTTTTGATATGTTTCTTGAATCGAAATAAATATCTGGGTCATGCCACACGACGGGTATTTAAAATAAAACCTGAATGATGTCCTGCACAAAACTAAGCGAAACGAAATGAAATGTGAAAGCTTAGAGAGAAGATAGAAAGGAATGCAAGAGATAAAAGAATGGAAATATACGATACGAAAATGTCACACCCTGTTACTTGTGTCCGGTTTTCGAATTTATCTATTTTCTTATACAAGTTTCTGGAAACTATTATATTATAATTTTAGAATGACGATAAATCTAAATGAAAATAGATATGAGATTGTATTTTTATTTTTTCTGTGTGTGTGTTTTTTTTTTCTTTACCTGCCAGATGTAGAACGAATGCGACAAGTAACAGCACCCCTTCCAGCATTTTCAGTATCAACAGTTATACAATATTCTTCACCCTGTGCCAAGGTATGTTGAATACCCTCCTTGATCTTACATTTCTCAGCTTTACCGGTTGAAACGCTTTGTACCAAAACTGGACTACCCGGTACTTCTTTGCCACCGTATTTCACATTGACCTTGTAACGACCACAGTCATCTGGCAAGTACGTTGCTTTGTATTTTCCATCCCCCAAATCTTGAACTTCAACTCTACGCGGTGATTGATCTGGACCCTTGACAAAAAAAACAAACAAACAAATATAATTATGATTATTATATTAAATATAAGTTGAATAATAATTATAAATATTTATATATTTTAAATATAACATTTAAATATAAATATAAATCAAATATAATTACGAATTATTTAATTTATATTTTATATATATATATAATTTATATTATATTATTTATATTATTTATATTATATATATATAATTACAAATTATTTAAATTTATATTTTATTTTATATTTATATTATTTAAATTAATATTACTTACCAAAACTTGAACCTCGAGATCACCGTAACCAGCTTTTGAAGTATCAACGACAAATTCTGTTGGAAATGACGCAGTGCAAACCGGTTGAACACCAGGTCCACTGAGAACAATTTTATTAGGTTCGACCGTAGGTAAAACTTTGATGGAATAAGGACTGTCATTTATTTCTTCACCATCATAACTGACACCTATTTGAACCGTACTACCAGCTGGTGGTGGTTGATAAGTAACTTCGTACAATCCATCGCTACGACTTTTAATTTCTGGCTTTTGTACTTGACCTTTGTCAGTCTTCAATCTAACGTCCAATTTAGCTGGTTCACATTTCGATGTGTCAACGACGAATTTAGCTGGTACACCTTCACGTACCATTTCAGGTTCGAGTCCTGTACCATAAGCAACAACATTCTTAGCATTACTGTTATCAGACACAACTTGTACTTTGAAAGGTGAACCAGGTATATGTTTGTCAGCGAATTTTATAGTTATATCATATTCTCCAGGTTCCAATGGTATATATTCAGCAGTACATGAACCATTATAATTATCTTTGCAAATCATTTGGGCTCCTCGTTTACCTTCTATAGCTAAACCAAGACCACCATTTCCAGCTTCTACAATTGAAACAAAGTAAACACATTTTTACCTACATTATATATATATATATTATTAAATATGAATTATTAAATATATATTATATAATATGGATTTTAATTATATAACACGAAAAAAATACCTTTTATATCTACAGTGAATTGATTAGCCTTATTGGTATAACCCTTTTCTAAACCTGGACCATATGCACGACATTTGCTAGGATCACTGTCACGTTTAACATTCACGCTAAACGGTGAACCTGGTACTGGAATGTTGTCGTAAAGAATATCAATAGTGTAACGTCCTTCTTCAAAAGGTGTATAACTGACACGATACATTCCATCTCCTTGAGGTATTATAACTTTATCTGTTTTTCCACCATTTGGATTGTTGATAACACATGAAACTAAACCTTCGTCGTTCTTCATTTTAGCTATCGCTCTGGTGTCTATCATGAATTCTGTTTGTTGTTCCAAGTACAGACCTTAAAAATGTAAAAAAATAATCGTTGTAAATAATGTTGCATACAATTCATTATAAAAAATACAAACTAAATCAATGCAGTTAACGAATTTGTTTTTTTCATCTATGTCGATGAAATTTGTACACTATAAACATTCTATAATTCTAAATGTTATTATAAGAATTAAAAAAATCATCCTAAGAATATAATAATTTCTTTCTAATCGAATAAAACACATTTATCTATCTAATCATTCATATTTACGATCTACACGTCCACCCACTAAAATGTGTCTAACATTATTGATACTTAATTCTAATGTGTTAATACAATAATGTTTTATCGATGAAAAAAATAAGAAACAATAATTAAATAAAATAAGGAAAACATGATTAATGATTATCTTTGAAAAAGCACACGACATGGGCATCTCCTAACGAGTAATACTTATCTAAAGCAAAATCTAAAAAAAAGAAAAATAATCTGAAAGAAGTGCAAATGAAAAAAGAAAGAAACAAATCAGCATAAACAATGAATTCATGCATCGGTATCGAACACACCTGGAATTCGCTGTTGATTCGAAAAAAGGCACTTGTATTGCTAGGATTAAATAGATTGCTCGTAAAAAAAAGAAACTAGAAAACTATTAGAATATTTCCATGAATTTTGCATGATTGTATTCAATTATAAATAAAATGCAAAATAAACAAGGATATTACGAGCAATCTTTTTGCCAAAATTGATATATCCATTGTACACACACACACACACTCTAACAATCACGGTTTTTATCGCATTCCATAATCATTGCAAAAAAACCATTATTGGCCATGACGGCATGACGATATACCGTGTGGCTGAATTCCATTTCCGGTGACCTTAATTTTGGAAACGTCGGTGTCAGGTACGACGATTGCCTGGAACGGTGAGCCAGGCACGTGTTGTTCATTGAAGGTAATATTAATCCCATAATCCCCAACTTCGGTAGGTAGATAAGCAACGGAACATGTACCATCACCATTGTCACGACAATTAATGGCAGCTTCGCAAGGACCCTCGACAGTAACGCCAAGTCCACCTTGACCAGCTCCTCTGGTATCGATAACAAATTCGGCTGGTTTGTTAACAACCCCACGTGACAAGCCAGGACCACTTGCACGAACTTTTCCAGGATCAGAGCCGTGAACGCAATTCAGACGATATGGTTGACTTGTTAAAGGTTCACCGCCAAAACTGATACCCAACAAATATTCGCCCAATTCCGTGGGTGTAAAGTTGACCAAATAACCTTCATGAGTCGGTAAGATGTGAGCCTTAACCCGATTACCGGATGGTGCTGTTATCGCCACTTGAAAGTCAGCTACTTTTCCGGCATCCTGCGTTATCACGCGGAACTGTTGCAGGCTGTTCACCGGTGCAGCTGTGCGAAGAGCGTTTGTTTTTTTTTTTTTTTACGTATTTAGGGGAACTCATCACTCATCAAATTCTCGTTATTTTTCATTCTTACGTGTTCATTATTCTACTTTGAACACAACATTTCTTACAAATTTTTGTACAAAAAAAAACAACCAAAATTATCAACAATTACGAATGATCCTTTGTGTCTTGAGTGAAGTTAAGAGAAATATCATGAAATTCTCGATAATTAAACCATCAAGATTTGTATACAATACGAGATGAATGATAGAAATATCATTTTTCTTAATTAATAAATGAAATTAGTTGAATATAAATAATATAATTATATTAAAGAATAATATTGATTACTCACTTGGTTCAAGACCGTCCACCTTGATTCTGGAAACGTCGATATGGGGTTGAACATTGACAGTGATTGGACACGTAGGTACCTTGAAACCACCGTAGGTAAGATTGACGAAATATTTTCCTGGTTGAGGTGCTACGTATTGTACGCTATAAGTATTGTCTTCGTTATCGGTCAAGGACACTGGTAATTCACGTCCATCTTCACTGACTATGGTAACATCCATATTACCAGGTCCAGCTTCGCGACAATCGATGTTAAAATGAGTTGGTATATTTGATTTAACACCATTTTCAACACCTGGACCAAATGCTGTCACAGCGGCTGGGTTGAAAGGTGCCGCTACCTTTACTCTGAACGGTGATTTTTTCGTAGCAACTCCACCATAATTTACCTATCAAAAAAAGGAAGATATAATTAAATTATAATACGTGTAATTGTATGGGTTATGTAAATGAAAATTGTACAATTAAATATCTAACCATGATAACATGTTGAGAAGCTGAAGTCGGTGTGTAATTAGCTTGTACGGTCCCATCACGTTTTTCTTCCAAACGAACAGGAACTTGTCTACCAAAAACATCTTGTATAACAACTTCCAAAGGTGCCTGACCAGCTTTTCTAGGATCCACAATAAAATGAGTCGGCTTATCTTTAGCAACGCTATCCGGTTGAATTCCAGGACCATGTACCTCAACCTACAAATAAATTAATCAAATAACGTTAGACAAATTTAATCTTGGTAGTAGCCAATTAAATTCAAAAACAAATATATCTAACGTAAGACAAACCTTTTCCGCGTCAAAGTCGGTCTTTGGTACAATATTTGCAATATAAGGAGACGATGGTATATCCTCGTTATCGCAAAGTATATGAACAGCATATTGTCCAGGTGCCGTTGGTAAATAAGACACGTCAGCTGTTTCATCACCATTGTCGTGACATTCTATATTTGCTTTGGATGGTCCTTCAATGGAAAATCCAAGAGCACCGGTTTCTCCGTTAGTATCTACCGTAAACCTTGCTGGTTGACCAACGACACCAGTTTTAAGACCTGGACCGAATGCCCAAATTGCGGATTCCTTGTATGGGCCAACGTTCACTTCGAACGGTGACTTTCTTATTTCTTTACCACCAAACGTAATCATTACAACATATCGGCCTTCCTTCGTTGGCACGTAAGAACAATTATACGTGTTAGCGTCTGCCTTGGTCATCCTACAAAAAATATATACATTGTTTTATTTCTGTAATATTATTATTATTAAATGATGAGATATTAGAATAAGACTTACTGTACTGTTTGATTAATACCACCCGGACCAATAACTTTAATCTCCGGTATTCCTTCCCCAGCATCCTTTGTAATGAGTACAAAATCAGCGTTATCGTTAACGCGAACTCCTGTTGGTAATAATCCTCGACCATATGCTATACATTTCTTAGCATCAGAGATTGGTGCCACGTTTACGCCAACCGGACTTTCGGGTATGGGTTTACCAGCGAAAAAGATGTTAACGGAATGTAAACCAGTTACTGGCGAACTGTACTCACACCTTGTTACATCCGGAAAGATTTGACGTAATTTAGGCGTTGTCAGTTTTGTACCCTAGAAAAATTATAATAAATTTGTATCATTGTATTGTAACATTTGTTTTTTTGTTTCTTCATCTTATTATTCTTCTTATTCTTGTTCTTATGTTTTATTTCTTTTTAACTGGACACTAAATACATCCTCATTATGTTCTATTTCTCATGTATATATACTTGTGGATCCAAAATGATAACTTCCGGCACACCACGGCCAGCATCCTTAGTAAATATGTCGAAATAAGTAGGCCTATTCAAGACAACTCCGTCACGTTGAAGACCCGGTCCACTTGCTGTTACTTTGCTAGCATCTCCAGCATGACCCTCAACGTTGACCGTATACGGACTCTTTGGAATTTCCCTTCCGGCAAATAATATCTTCACTTTGTAAGGTCCTTCGATTCTTGGCGTATAAGATACGGCATATGTAAGATTTCTATCTTTGTTGAATCTAACATCTGCCTGCAAATAAATAATCATATATATAAAAATACTATTAACTTTTTTAAATTTTTACAACAACTATAATAACACAAATATTATTTAATATAATATTTTATTCCATTTAAATGGTATGGAAATTGGAACTTTTATAATAAAAATTTTTAATTAAAATTAACTAAAATTTTATCCAGTTAAAATATTATTTAATATAATAAATAATATTATAATAATAAATGAAAAAAAAAAATATATATATATATAATAAATAATATTAAATTTAAATAATATTTAAACGGTATGGAAATTTTTTTGTCGTTTATTCGATTTATACTTTTTTATTATTATTTATTTAATTATATATAATAATATAAGATAATATATTTCTTACCGGTACGGTATTTCCTTTAGGATCTTCAACGAATACTTCAACATTTCCTTTACCAGCGGAAAATGTTTCAACAGTGAAATTGGCCGGTACACCAACTACCGGGCCAACTGATTCAATTCCCGGACCATATGCACGTACTCTGTTTATAAATTAAATAATATTAGTTATACAAAAATTTGAAAAAAAAAACAATTGAAAGAAAAATAAAAAGAATAGTGGTGGGATAGTTGGAGTAAGGGAGGGAAGAAAAACGCAATTTTGATGTCACGCGAATTTTTTAAATAGTTACAAAGCGTTGTTATAAACATTTTATTTTTATTATTTTTTTTATTTTTTTAATTAGTTATTTTTCAACGAGGACTAATATTTCTTCTTTTCCCAAATTTTTATTTCGACTAATTTTATTTCGAAATATCGTCGAGAATTCATCTTATCAAAAACTTTTATTACGATTTATCTTGTTAAATACATTTTTTCTTTTTTTCATTTTTTTTTTATCGGTTTATTTACGACTTTTTTTTATCTGACTGATAAATCAAAATAACCCTCCTCGGCAGGAAATGGTAAATTATTTTTTTTTCGATTTAACGTAGAGAACGGGGTTAGATTAAAAAATTAAATTAAAAAAAAAAATAAGAAACAAAAAGGGAGAGAGAGACAATTGAAATCATCCTAATAAAACGATTTGTAAACATGACGACAAATATCCGTTTTGATAGTTCTAATACGTTACACACGTACAAATTCAAATGAATTTCAATTAAAATATCATACGTATGCAAGATACAATTATGATATTCAAATGTAATAAGCTCGAGAAAATATTTTTTTTACTTGGGTTTGTTTTAGGGAAATTGTTAAAATGGAAAAAATAATTGGAAAAATCCTGCGCTACACATAAACAATATCTAAAAGCTCATAATACATCACACATCAAATGAAAACATTAAAAAACTAAATAAATAAAAATAAAAAAATGGATTCAAAGATTAAAAAGAAAATAATCAAAAAAAAAAAAGGTAAAACAAAAAAGTTTCGTTTATCAATAGAAAAATTATGAAATTAAAACATACGTCAAAGAATGATGAAAAAAACAATAAATAACAATAAATAACAATAATAATAATGATAATAATAATAATAATAATAATAATAATAATAATAATAAATATAAACAATAAAATGTTGCTGAGATCGATTTAAATTTAACGAACTAAAAAGGCAGGAAAGGTGATTAATTGCATAAAACTAATTACGAATTGTTTTTGTCAATTTATGATTACGTTTAAATATTTAGATATATATGTATATATATATACATGTCAAGAAATCGTTGCTGAGCAACTTACCGCGGAGGAGGGATGCTGCGACCGGGAAATGAAATAAATTTTTATTAATTAATAAATAATTTTTTATTCTAATATCTGTTAAATACTTTTTTGTATCTAACACCGTTCCTAATGAACTACTACTATACCTACTTATATTACGATAAATAAAATATAAATAAACTATCGTATATCTTCCCATAAAAGAAAGAGAGAGAGAAAGAGAGAGAAAAGGAAAAGATATTAAAAAAAAAAAAAACAACTCGATTTTTGGTCTGAAACAATGGACAATTATAATTAATATTATTATTTATAAAAATAAACAGTAATTTTTGTTAACAAATTAATTCATACGTTCAATACACTTATTTAATTATTGTTAATTATTATTAAACAATTTATTTTTAAATAAATTTTGTAAATATATGAATTATTGTTTCAGACCAAAAAATCGTATATCAAAGGTATAGAAAAAGAAAGAAGATGCACTTGAGAAAACTAAATCACAAAATACAAAAATAAATTTATACAAAGACAGAGAAATAGAAAGAGAAACATAGACAGAGAGAGAGAGAGAGAGAGAGAGAGAGAAAGAGAGAGAAAAATAACAAGAAATAGAATGGAGGATTTCAAAATAACATATCAGGTGACACTCCTCACTTTAATCAATGCACCCAAATATAAGATAAAAAAATAAAAAATAAAATATATTAAATGACATATTGAAATAAATAAAAAATAATTCTTACCTATTGGGATTGGTCCGTGGTCTCAAAGGTGCACCTTGTTTCAATTTAGCATTAGGATATTGAGAAAGATACGTCATCATTGACATCTCATCAATGTTAGGGTTGACCATTTCTTCCGGTTTTATCAACTATGATAACAAAAAAGAAAACAAAACGTGTCTTGTTAATTTTGTCCAATAAAAATATTATAAAATTGATATATGAAGCTAAAAAAAAAAGGAAAAAAAGGTGAAATGATGAATTTTTATCGAAACAAACCTGTGGTATGTTTTTGTTGCATAAAAATATTGTAAAATTGATACGTAAAAAAAAAAGAAAATAATAAATGATAGAATGATGGATTTTTATTAAAACAAACCTGTGGTATGTTGAGCCAATCATCAGCCAAACCCATAGCCTCAGATGCATTTTGTACAGCATCATTAGGATTCCAATCCTGCCAATCTGGACATAGACCTGGTGCAACTGCATCAACTAAAGCACCAACAGCTCTACCGTCATTCCAATCTGAAGTGAAATTCGTGATTGGTAAATTGGGTACTTTTGACTGTACCCAATGCATCAGTCTTTGTTTGGGTGTTGCCCCTTTGTCGAAATTGTCCCCTTCTTCCTCGTCCCACATTTTCATTGATATCGAATAATGTAGAATTAGTTTCCATATTAATCCTAATATTAATTTCAACTTGCAATCAACAATATCCGTCGAATCTGTAAAAAAAAAATGATTTCTTTGTTTAGTATTATTGTTTTGATAATTATTTGAAAAAAAAAATATAAATAAATGTTTCTTGTATCTTTTATTCGTTGAATATGTTTTCTGAAATTATTTTTAGATTAATTTTAGTTTTTTTTTTATTTATATATATATATATATATTTGTAAAGAATTGTTCTAACAACGTTATATGTCTTATTAAATTTAATTATTAATTTAGTATATTAATAATTAATTAAAGAAATATATTATATAAATAATAAATATATAATAGTAAAATTGTAATAATAATTATTAATTTATATTACATTTATTATTAACTAAATAAATATATTATATTATRTAATATATTAAATTTGTATTATATATAATAATATATTATACTATATATATATATATTTAATTTAAATACAATAATATTAAATTAATTAATATAATTATATTAAATTTAATATATTAAATTTAAATTTGTATATTATATTATATTATAAAATAAATATATTAATTATAATACTATAAATATAACAAATTAATATAATATAATATAATATATAAAACTCTATAATTTATTTTATTTACATATTTAAAACGACAAACACACAATTTCTATTAGAAACTTGTCTTTTTAATTATGAATATAAAAATAAAAAAAAATAAGTCTTTTACTTAGCACTTAAAAAAAAGAAGGAAGAAACGAAATTACCTAATATGCTATAAAATAAATATCTGTGAAGAGTATAATTAAGGAGATAACAGAATAACTATTTTTAGAATGAATTATTTCACCGTATCGACTCTGGGTAAGATGTTAATCATGAGAAATAACAACGAGATGATCAAACAACGTGAGAATAAACTTGCGTAACACTTGTTCGATGAATAAAATGAAAAAAAAAAAATAAGAAGAAAAAAAAATCCAAATCAACCACGCCTAGATGAAATCATAAGTGAAAGAGAAAGAGTGAAAGCATAAACGTTTATAAAAAAATCATATTTTATACCTTTCGAGATAATTATTTTCGAAACAAAAGATTCTCCTACGTTTCCACAGTTTTTTCTTTTCTTTTTCAATCAGGAAAAATATATTATAATAAATGACAACAGAAACGTGTCAATGGATAAAAATTGTATCGTATTGCGTGTTCTCGTTGAACGAACGAAAAAACACGTAGAAATTATCTGCAAAAAAATTAAACAAAAAATATCCTATTTCGTGACTGTTATTTAACGAGTTTTATGACAAAATAAAAAAAAAAGAGAAAAAATATCACGAGTTAAACAAAAAAAAAAAAGATAGTAAAGATCCTAAATATAATTTTTGAAATAAGAATTTTTGGTCAAATATCAAAAAGATTTACTGAAAATTAATTTCGTATCTTCGAATTGAATATATTAAATCACTGTCATTGGCCAAAGCGTAGGTATACATTTGGCAAATTGGCAAACTCTTAAATGTAATATAGGGATAAAAAAATTTGGCCTGTTTTAAACGAAGGAATCGCCGGTAAAGTTTCTTCTCTTGTCCGATGACTCACGGATAAATTATTTTTAAGAAAAAACTTCAATTACAATTGACTGCAATAAACATCAATTTTGAAATAAATAATAGCAACTAAGTAATTTAAAAAAATAAAAAAAGAAATATTAAAAGGAAGATAAACTTTTAAAATGTAGATTACAAATATATAATATATAAAATAATTTATATAATAACAAAATTAAAATTATATATATAATATATCTAAATATAATATATAAAATAATTAGTATAATAATAAAATAAAAATTATATATATAAGAGGAAAGGGTTTGCCAATAAAATACAATAATAAATTACACACGTACACGTGAAAATATTTTGAAATTCATTAGCATGATTTTGACCAAAAAAGAAATATTAAATTTCAAAACATCATTTGAATATTTTTGTTCTTTCACATTCCCCATTCAAAGTCCCCTTTCTCTAACCTAGTTATGCTTAGAAAGATTTTTCGGTCATCAAGTGTGTCAAGGCCATTGGTAAAATCCTCATCCTTCTCTCCCCACCCTCCCCCTCCTTTTCACAATTGCTGACAGACAGAAAAGTATAAGTATACCCAGGTGTGTTGATACATTTATATATGTAAGTGTAGAATTCAAACTATTGAGTTTTATGAATATTTTGACTGTAATTTCTCATTCGTGATTCTTCTAACGCAAAGCCCGTGACCCACTCAGTTATTTACTCACTCACTCAGTTACTCAGTTACTCACTCAGTAACTCATTCGACGTGACGATCACTCGTCGACGATTTCTTCTAAGAGAAAACGTAAATCCGAAATTAAAGCCTCTGATTCATCTGTGAGACTTCGTACGCGTTTCTATTGTCAACGAATTCAAAAATAACATATACGATAATATGTGTATATATGTATATTAAATTTGGCAACTATTTTAAACAGACACAAAAGAATTTATTGTATTTGTATATTCGTATAATATGTATATTTATAATTGTATATACGAAAGGTAGATAGTTCGTTCAATCTTTCTAAAATTATGTAGAAAGATTAATGTTAATAGATTTAATATATTTATATATAGAAACAACGTTAACAATAGTTCAATTTAATTTACAAATGTTCTTCTAGAAAAGATTTATTTGACGTAAGGATTAATTAATTTGTATTATAAACAAAAATATATATATACATATGAATAAAGGATAAAGTAAGAAATTTAAAGACCTAGAATTGTTATATTAAATAATATTATTATTTAATATAACAATATTAGATAATATTGTGTTACATTAAATAATAATATATTATATATAAATAATATAATTATATAATAAATATATTTATATATTTTATATATTAAAATATTAAATAAATAATAACTATTAATTATATAATAATTTCTTACTATATGGACTAATATAAGTAAAAGTAATACATTTTATTTGGAATATATTTATATTGGTGACATATAAATATATATTTTTTGCAACAACATTTCAATTAAAAGATATAAATTAAATATATAAGTAAAAACAAAATAGAAATATTTATATATTTATATAGATGACGAGTCTTACTCGTCAAATGTACCCAAAGGGTTAACAAACTATTACAATATTTTATATTAAAAATATTTGACAAAATATCCGAATGAACAACATCCTAATAAATTTTTTTTAATAATTAAAAAATTGAATTTTCTATAAAATAAGAATAAAATATTTAAATGATTGTAAATAAATTAAAAAATATATTAACTTAATTTTTTCTTAAACAAATCTCATCAGACTTATGAATTCAATTAATTTAATTAATTATCAAACCTTTTTATAATTTTAGAAAAGACTGTTAATAATTAATTGTAATATATGAGACTATAATAATTAATTTAAAAATGTTTGACAAAGTAATTGATATCACGGAACAACAACGTGGTATTTTTTTTTTTTTTAATTCTTTTACACTACAAACAAGTAAACGTTGACAATGGGTGTAAGTTTCAAGAGTAGAAAAAGTCGTAATGTCTCCTTTTCGCTTTCTATCTGTGTTCCAACTCTTTAAAACATTCTCGTATTACTTTTCTTATAGAAGGAACAATGACACGCAGCTAAGATTTCGAGGCCTTAATCCTTCACCCTTCACCCTTAAAGTTTAGACGGTGACCTTATTGTACTACGATGCGCGAACCAATTTAAACAAAAACAAAAAAATACAAAAACTAATTTAAAAGAAAAAAAAAAACAGAAAAAATAATCAAATATAAAAAATGCAATTTTTCAGAGAAAAAAACAATTTTCGTATGTGTTTGTACGTATTAAATATATTGTTCTATGCATGAATGTGTGTGTGTGTGTGTGTATCATTTATTGAAATTAATTTAAAAATTATAAATGATAAATTCAAATAGCACGTCAAGGTCAATCCGATAATAATGCAAATGATCCTAGTAAGTATGATTTTTATCGCACCAAATAAAGTATACACACACACATATATTACTTTCTATCCTAGGAATTTCTCTTAACTACATCCTGTGGACGTAATGACGTCACACATTCCACGATAAAACGAAAGGGAAGGCTTTTGCGGTTAGGGAGGGCTTAACTTACAACTCGATCCTGTTTCTTCCTTTTTTTTTAATTTTATTTTATTTTTTACTTTTCTTTTTTTTAAATATTTTTCTAACATTATTTTCCTTCTCTCTACACTCAAGTTAAGTTTCTAATTTTCTAAGATACTTTGTAATATAATTATTACTGTTTATTTTCTTATTGAAATGTTTTTATAATAAATGTTGAACAATATACTAGCATGTGTTTCAATTTAAACAATAATTGCAAAAGTATGTGTGTACGTGTGGTGGTGTGTATTAAATATATTATTAATTGTAAGTTTAGGTGTATGTTAGAATTTTTAATAATTTATATTTAAAAATTGGTTACTAATTGTAAATTTACGTGTATGTTAGAATTTTTAATAATTTATATTTAAAAATTGATTACTAATTGTAAGCTTACGTGTATGTTGGAATTTTTAATAGTTTATATTAAAAAAGAAAAGAATGCATATAGGTATATACATATCAATATAAGATAAATTTTAATTTAAAATTTTGATAATGCAAATTTTTGTGGAATTTTTGCATCTGTAATCAAAACACACACTAAAGTATTTTGTATCGAGAATGTTTGGTATTTCATATCTGAATAAATAATATTTTAATTAATTTTTTATTTTCATTAATAATATTTAATAATTATTATTTAATATATAAAAATAAATTCATTATGATATGTTCATTTCTCAATGAATTACATTGGAATGTTTATTTAATTATTAATTTCAATATTAATTATTGTACTTAATTAAAAATAAATTTTTTTTTAAATAACTAATCTAATAGAGTTTCTTGTTTTGTTTTGTAACTAGAGAAAATAATAACACGTATAAAAATAATCGATAGAAAGCATATGTGTGATTTTAAAGGAATG